AAATCTTATTTGAAAGAAATTAGTGGGATAGACAAAATAAATAATGAAATAATAACAAGATGTGTTGAGTTATGACGTCCAGAAAGTACTCTGTACGGCTTTGTAGATTTACTTTCTTTCAATATATTTTCATGTACGGCTCACAAAATTTGAGATTTGTATTTCCTGTTGATAAATTGAACAACATGAACTTCACCTTCGAGTTTTCCAGGCCGTTAAAGGGATTGTGAATGTCGTGAAAATTTAAAAAATCATGTAAGTAATTGAAAAATAAATGTGTACATCTATAAAACTGAATTATTCTTAATTACTGATTCAACAAGATATACGAGGTTTGTTCAAAAAATGAGGCGAATTTTCATTTTTCTCGAAAAATACCTATCTATTCAATTTATATTTTGCCCACTTCAAAGTAGTTCCCCTCGGATAAAACACACTTGTGCCAGGGATTTTTCCAATCCTCGAAACAGCTCTGATATGCATTTTTGGTATGTCTTTGAGCTCTCCCAGCGATTCAGTTTTCATCTCCTCAATAGTTGCAAATCGCCTGTCTTCCATCTGTCTTTTCAATCTTGGAAAAAAGAAAAAGTCGCAGGGGTCCAAGCCTGGTGAATACGGTGGCTGAGGCATGATTAGGGTGTTGTTTTTGACCAAAAAATTTCTAACATGCAATGACGAGTGGGCAGGTACATAATCGTGATCCAAAAGCCATGAATTGTATTTTCACAATACCAGACGTTTTCTTAGTTTTGCTTCTCGCAAGATAACTTCAAGATAATATTCCATATTGACTGTAAGACCATGTGGCAAGAACTCCTGATGCACTAGGCCACAGCAATCGAAGAAAATAGTGAGCAAAACCTTGACATTTGATCGAACTTGGTGTGCTTTCTTTGGTCTTGTCTCTCCTGGGCTCTTCCATTGGGACGATTGGATTTTGGTTTTGATATCATAACCATGTACTCATGATTCGTCACCAGTAATGCCCCTTTTAAACGAATGTGGATCGCCGTTGACGTCATTAAACAGTTTTTAAACGAACTTGTAAACATGTTTCTGACTCAGAGTACAATCACCGTATGCCACTGCCAACATTTCAAGTGAGAAAATCGCCGAACACGCAAAACACTTCTAACGTTTAGTTATGCCTCTCACCAACAAACTGAACAGCTGAAACTGTGAACATATGTTCGAGACATGTGTACCAACATAAAAAATACGCTAATATGTACGTAGCCCGCGAAATTTGAACTTTATTTCTGAACAGATCTCGTACATGACGTCCGAGTAGAGATATGTTATTCCTGGTGACCAATTCAACAAGATGAGCATATCATCCGAGTTAAGAAAAACAAAATAGTGATGAATGTTATTTCCGATTCAACAAGATAAATATCACGTCCGAGTTTTCCAGGCCGTCTGAGTCTGAGGTATACCTAATTGCAAAATTCACAAGTTGTGACTAGCCCTTAACAAAAACAAGTTCTCCTTATATATTGATTCTTCATACTGATATCGACTTTTTAAAGAATAAAGAATATATAAAAAAAAAAAGAATTTTATTCTTTAAATCATAGAACAATATGAAAAACAAAATCGACCTAAAAACCTAGATATTGGTGCTTCAGAACCAAATGCACTTGTTTTAGCAGCTGTATAGGTTGATTGAGAAAGAAAGAACTAAAACTTGGAATCCTGCGAACGCGCAACGTAATCAACGTTTAAACAATGTAATTAACTCATCAGTTCTCCAATTCATGAATAGACAACAAGCAAAAATTATAATGAAAATATTACTATTAAAATGATTAATTTTTTTGCGGAAAGACACATTTGAAGTTGAAGTAAATCAGAAAATAACACTTTTATATGGGTCAAGAAAAATTACATAACATATTCAAATAAATCATCTGTAGTTTTTGTTTACCAACAAACTCATTAATACTTTTTTTAATAATTACTATTTTATCAAGATCTGTTCTCTCTTTGACAAATATTATGAATTCAAGGTGAACTGTTACCAAATACCTACCAGTGGGTTTGATATTTATAGAAATGACACAACTACCAAGAAACGCTGAATTCTCAACCAGTTATATAAAGAACAATTTTTACAGACAATGACAGGTGAATTTTTAAATATTTTTGGATTGACTCAGGGGAATTCAAAATGGCATTTAATAATATATAGATTTTAAACAGAACAGATACAGGAAATGGTAAACTGAAACGCCACTGATGAATTATACACAGGATCTTAGGCAGCTTTTTCAGCAAAAAAGTTTAAAGTAACTAGGTTTGTGATGATTATCAAGAAATAAGATTGAACCTCACATTTATATTAAAAATTAATGAGAAATGATTTTTCATTCCCTTTCAAATAAAAATAAATTCACCAAGTATTCATGTGTGTATAAAGTAATTGATTTTTATGAATTTTTTCATTCTTGGATAAAAAGTATTAAAGTATGCAGCCTCTGTGTTTAAAATGTGCAATGATCAACTGTTGAATAGAACTGGCCGATACTTTATGAAAACCCATATTAAAACTCATTAATACAGTTTATTGTATGATTTTCACTATAAATGGTTTTACAAAAACCGCAACACGTGTTTCGCTTTACAATTGCTGTATGATTCTTGAATCAGAAATTCCTGCAGATGATGATTAATGAAAAATAATGTTAAATTCAACTAGGACAACGATAAAGACACTTTGATAAAAGCATTTATACTTATACTACTCAATACAGCTACATTTCAAAATTGTTCTTTGCCGAAGTGATGGTGGTATACAGTGCACAGTGTTTTTACCATTTAAATTTTGTTTTTCAAAAGCTCTCAACATGATTGAAGGGATAAACCCAACTTTGTGCACATGTCGATAGATGGTGCACGAATCGAATTCCTCAACATTGTTAATGTTCAGGACGAAAAAGCAGAGAGCGCCGCAAGAAATTTGTTTATTGTTTTGACATTTCCAAATAGGCATATGTCTTATGTGTGTATATGTGTATCTCATTTTAATTATTTTTTAGTTACTCAATTATTTTTTCTCTTTCGGAATTTCTTCTATAGTAGTGCCTTATTGTGAGGCCTTTCACGTATTTATCTTCATGAAGTTACGTTGGTTAGCAGATAGTTTGTTCACAGATTGGCTGTTTAATATGTAGTAGGCTTCATACCTCGAGAAGCTTAAAATTTGAAACAATTTATGTTTGAATTCGATATTAAAATCTACTTATAACTAAATAACATTAATAACTGAATTATAATTAAGTTAGCTGGTCTGTAGTGAACTTCCATAAGAGATGGTCGACAATATTGAAACTTATAGATAAACTAACGTGAAGAACCTGAGTTGGTTTAGAATGAGTTCTGTAATTTTATTACATTTCCTGTTTTGAAGACAAGAAAGAATTAAGTGTCAGAAAATTGTAAACATAGACTGAAAACATGAATGAATGCAAAACATTGCAGTATGTAAAATAATGAACATATATCCATCTTGATAAAATAAGCCAAGAGAGATATTTCATATATATTTTTCTTGTAGCCCCAAATTAAGAAAATGATTGTATTATAACCATACAACTTGCTAAAACATAGGGTTTTTCAAGAGTAAATAAGTACTGTGTCACTGATTTAATAAGAATTTCTTTGCATTTAGTATCAGATTAGCCATGCTGCAAAAGGCGGCAAATAATTCAGCCATACATCTAGTAAGTATATTAATGTATTTGTTCCATATATTATTATAATTGTAAGCTGGCACAAAACTTACACGTAGAATCCCCTAGTATGATTTTCGATTCCAACTATTTCTAATACAAACATATACAAATTTGGTATAATCTGACTAGGTAGAATAGTTTTCAAATGATAATGAGAAAATACTAAAATGGATACTTACTTGATGAGCCTACTTTAACATTTAGTGGACTTTTTTTTCTGATTGATTCGGCCGTTACTTGATGAAGATTTCTCAAACTACATCTCACGATTTCATCTCCACAAACTTTATTTTCAAAAATATATTATGATATGTTTCGTTATCATAGTAACTTTCTCATAGTGAATTTCATAGTGAATTCAACTATGAAAAAGCTACCGTGATAGCGAAACATGTGATATATTTTTGAAAATAAAGTTTGTCAAGATCAAATCGTAATGTGTAGTTTATGAAAAATGATGTGGACTATTATTCATTCCTACCAAAATTTTCTCTTGATGAAAGAATGAAATAGTTGTTTTTTTTGTTACCCGACAATTTGTTATGTTATGATTTCTTAGTTTTTACATGCTTTTGTATTATTTGTTTTGTCCATACCAAATCACGAAAAAATCTTTTCATACCTAAATATTGTTTTATTGACAGCCTAAATTTTGATATGTGATGCAATTGAAGGGTATCCCCATTCACATTTACTACATGCTTTATGCAACACTGGTTCTATCCAGTTTTCTTTTACATATGACGCCTAAATCCTAGTTTCTTGATTTTTTAAACAAGATAGTTTTTCAAGAGAGATTTTTGATAATCTCTAATATAAATATAAAGGATAAACTGACCCAAGCTTTAGTTCAGTCCTCAGTTCAGTCGGACCTAGGTTAAACTAGTATGGTACAAAACTTGACTGATTTTATTAATATCTACAGATCGAAACTTATTCTATCATCACCCAATCAGTATACTAAAGAAAGATTTCAATAAAGACATATATTTTCAATCCTCTTACTGAGCTTATCAAACCTATCAAGATAAATGTCACTGACAGAAGATCAATCAGTTTCGATCAATAGAAATAAGAAACACAGACTTCACTTATCTCAAAACTTTGATTGGCTTTAAAAGAGGATTCAAAACGTGTTTTTAATTAAAATCTGAAATGGCAGAAACAGTTTTGTCTACTTTTCAAGAAGACAGAAGGTGTCAGTATAAACATAAATACTTAAACCATGATTGATAAGGTCAATTTTTTCATACATAATACACTTACTTGGTCTTTGAAGGATAGTTCTTCTCTGAGACTCTGGTTGGAGTTCTCTACTTCAACTCTAGCTAAGGATTCTTCCTCCAGTTGCTTACGATGTTCATCAAGGAGCTTTCTTAGCTTATCCCTTTCCTTTTCAAGGTCTCTAGCATCTGTAGCAGCTTTTTTAGCATCTGCAGCTGCCTGATTAGCTTTGAGTTGTAATTCATTGCACCTAGTTTCATAAATTCTGGCAGAATTCTCAGCCAGAACCAAATCTTTGCTTTTTTTGGCTAAATCAGCTTTTAGCTCTTCGTTTTCATCTAACAGACGTTTAACATCAATTTCCAAACGGGCTTTCTCTCGGTGAGTTTCATCTAACAACTTTCTGGCGTCTGATAGTTCATGATCATACATAGACTTAATGTTTGATACTTCTCTAGTAACAGTTTCTTGTGTTGTTTGTATTTCTCTGGTTAACCTGCTGTTTTCGGCTTCTAAGTAGCGAACTTTGTCGATGTAACACGCTAGACGATCATTTAGATTTTGCAAGTCCTGTTTCTCCTGCAGTCTTGAATGTCTGGTAGGACTTAAGGGGCTTGCCGGCCGCTGATGTGTAGATGCAGGCGTTGAACTTTTTTTAGATTTTGATGCCATTTTCACGACTCTTAACACCAAGATAACACAAACAACTCACCACACTGCCTGCAACGAATCTACAATCTACACAATCGAACAGTTGACGCAGCAAACTCCAGAAATCGGTCGAGGTCTTTACGAGGTAACCAAACTATTTTCGGAGATGATAGGGGAGCGGCGTTCAACGGTTTTCGCTTGCGCTTAAAGGTTTACGCCTACGTTGGTCCAAATGTAAATAGGTGGGGCAAATTTGTTCCACAGCGCATGTGCCTTTCGTCAAGTAGACAAATATATTAGATATGTTCGGTTTTAAAATCTGGAGCAAAACGAGCAAAAACAGATTACCACGTGATCACAGAGTCAACGGAACGACATATATTTAACAAATACTCGGTTCCTACGATAATGACAACTCGATATTTGTAGCAGTGTTACCAGTTGGTGGTGATTACCTGAGGCGTTTTCTGGCGCTCATGTTATCAAAACGTATTCGTCTGTGATTCGAATACATTCATTCTGGCGTTGAAACTATGACGTCACATCAACTATGATTTGAAACGTATTCATGATGACGTTGTTTTGAAATGGAATTTGACGTTATGTTTCATCAGTTGTCAGTTTCTGCTTTATGTTGATCGTTATAATTTATAAAATGCCAAAATTTGTTGTCAACTATATTGTAGGAATGTAGAAAATAAGACTGCGAAATTATTACTTGCAAAAGTCTGATTCTAATTGAGGCTAGAGAAAACTGAAAAGTTTGTTTATATTATTGAATTTGACATCTGACATAAATTGAATCACGTTATTCTGGCGAAACTTATTATTAATGTCACTTCGAATCGTTTTTGAATACATACTCGAATAAGATTAAACGCCAGAAAAGACCTCTGAATTGTGGGTATATTTATCGGTATTTGGATTTTGCGGAAAAAATGAAGGGACATTTCAAAAGCTGTGAAGGTCCCAAAGAGACGCAACATACTTTGCCAGTGAATATCGAAATTCACAATAAAAGAATTATGGGTTTTGTGCATGCAGTATCTGAATTTCGCTGCTTTGAAAAGGTATTCGCCAGTGAATGTATCAGTACCTTTTACTTGCATAAGTAGTGAAGCGATACCTGTAGAATATGAAGTTGAAAAGAAGATGTCATAGTTCAAATGAAAAACACTTTGTACCCACTGTTTCGAAAAAAAAAGTGATCATATTGCCTAGGATATTGCCAATCGTGGGAAGAAATTCCAGAATTTCATATTAGATATAAAGGATCTTTTTTGTAAGAACTTAAATATCTATTAAAAAAAATTAACATTTTTTGGTGAAGTTCACCATTTTGGAGAAAACAGCAAAAAAATGAAAACCCATATCATCTCACCTGCGTTATAGATATTTCCAATGATCGTTCAATTCTGCATAATTCTCACAAAGAACAGTGTGATAGCATGAAATGCTATGTTTTATGACATACCTGTTTTATGCTATTTGACATGAGTACACAGTACACAGGAATAAACAAAGAACACAAAAAGTACTAAAAGACTAAAAAAACGGACTCAAGGCTGCATAACGCAAGAAGATATGCGTTCTCGAACAAAGTTTCTGTTCCATGTCTGCAGCTATAGTCGAATGCGCCTGAGTAGGAAGAAAAGCAAATGTCACGTAAGAATAGAGAGAGAAAAAGAGAAATCTTTCAAAGTAAAAATATTGGATTATAACAGAATAAAACAAAATGCCTCCATCTGTTGAAAAATTATCTGATACAAATGTTACTGGGAATGAAGAAGATAAAAAGAATTTGTGGTCACAGATACTTAATGATGTTCAAAAACACGGTAATCCGAAACTATCTCCTCACAAGCAAATTCTTGTCCTCGGTGATAATGAATCCGGAAAAACTACGATGGTAGCAAAGCTCCAAGGTATGAATTTGACTGACTCGTGGAAAATCCTCTCACCCACATACAAAACTTACAGGTATTGAAAACTCCAGCAAAGGATCTGGCCTCGAATATGCTTACATTGATGTTCGTGATGACTATAGAGATGATCATACACGTTTAAGCGTCTGGGTGTTAGATGGAGATCCAGCACATTCTGATCTTCTGAAATTTGCCTTAAATGAAGAAACTTTCCAGGTATTTGAAAATTTTCAATTCAATTAATGTATTTCAACTTCATCTAGACAACACAAATTATCTATTTATGTTCTTACCGGTGAATTTTTTTCTAAATTTTAAATTAGATTTGAAAAAATTTCTGCCTTTCATAAATTGAACAAGTGAAACTGGAAAAAACATTTTTGGACATGAGAGCAAAATCCTCAAGTTTGGTACAAAACATAAAACAACTTTAGAAAAAGAAACATATTTTGTTGTGATATTTTGTTGTGAAAGTAGTTATAACATCGGCTTCAAATGTCTTTAAATTATATTCATGTCATCCAGATGCTGGATGTTTTCTAAATGAGAGTTTTTTTGTAATTTATCTCAAAATATAGAATTAATTGAAGATTAGTAAACATCAATGACATCTGCCCTTGTAAAGAAGTCATCTATGAGATCGACAGAAAATTCTTTCTACGAATATCAAAGTCAAATGAGGCAGTCGGTTGCAAAACCAAGCTTTGACCACCGAACAAGATGTTTTCCACTGCAAGACATATAAGTATATTGGCACTTTATCACGAGAAATTTTATTTTGAACCCTGCTGTTGGTCCCTACAATTATTATTGACAAATTTTATACATGGTAGTATGCTTTCTATTAGGGAACAAATAAAAACTAGTCCATTTTGTGTTCAACTCCCCAAACCCCTGGTATTTTCAAGACAATTCACACTTTTTATTATTCAAGGAGACGTTGGTAATTCTCACAGTTGCTATGACAACTCCTTGGGGTATTTTAGAGCAGCTACAACACTGGGCATCTGTATTAGCTGATCATCTTGATAAACTCAAGTTGGATGTTGACTTGAGACAAAGTCGAAGGCATCATATCATTAAAATGTGGTTAGATTATGTGGAACCAGGTGATGAATTGGACCCAGCCTCTCCCATGAAAAGAAGCTCTAGAAATTTGGGGGAGGAGGACGAGGAATTTTATGGTTCTCCTTTAGCAGAAGGTAAGAGACATAATTGAAATGAATTTTTGTGTTTCAGATAAGGTTTATCTGTGGTTGATAATTTCAATAATATTGCATAATCCAAATGAATGAAAGATAGAATATAAATGTTTTTGTTTTTTAGGTACGCTAACTAATAATTTGGGATTAGACATTGTTGTTGTTGTAACCAAAACAGATTACATTCAGAATTTGGAGAAAGACCACGACTACCGAGATGAACATCTTGATTTTATGCAACAATGGATAAGGCGTTTCTGTTTACAATATGGCGCAGCCCTCTTTTACACAAGTGCCAAAGAAGATAAAAACTGCGATTTACTTTACAAATACCTTACTCATCGTGTCTATGGCTTTCCTTTTCACACACCAGCCTTGGTGGTTGAAAAAGACGCTGTTTTCATTCCAGCAGGTTGGGACAATATGAAAAAAATAAGTATTCTTCATGAGAACATGCATTCATGTAAACCTGAAGACTACTACCGGGATGTGATAGTCCAGCCTGCAACAAGAAAGACGATAAATCGAGAGACTGAAATTCTGGCAGAAGACGAGCAGGCTTTCTTGACCAGGCAACAGCAGATTTCATTTGGAGGAAGTCTACCAAGTGCCAGACTAGGCGAATCACCTATAAGACCATCTGTTGCAGGTAAACCAATATCAAATTCATACCACCTCTCAATAATTCTCACAAGTATATTTTTACTGAAGGTATCCAAGGTTCTCCACGGAAATTAGATGGCTCTAAAGTTGTTGCCTCACCAGGAGGTGAAGGAGTTTTAGCAAACTTTTTCAATTCTCTGCTCCTGAAAAAAACAGGAAGCCCAGCTGCAATGATGGGTGCAAAATCATCAGGAAGCGAAAGTTTACCTGACAAAGTTACAATGCGAACCGATGCTGCTGCTGAATTGGATCGAATTGCTAGAGGTGCAAAGAAACCAGGATCTGGTAGTTCTGGAACAGGGGGTATAGATTTCAATGCTTCAGATTGTTGAATAAGCTTGATAACAAAGTATTCTTTTATATATCTAGTTGCTTTATGTGTCGTTTAAATTCTGTTCTATTTTTAAAGCTTATAATAAAATGTATACCCTCTGTGATAAGCTTAGCTCATTATTTATTATTTTTTAACTCGTACTATTCTACATTTTTTCTCCAATAAAATATAGCCACACATCATTTTTCATCCTCTGATTCTGTCAGTAAATGAATTTGAAATTGTATTTTTCCTTTATGATGGTGACTCAAATCCACTTGAAAACTTCAGTCAAATTTTATTATTGCACCAGTTTTTATTGAAACTATGGAGAAATGATTTTTTTGAGTTTTCTTAATATTACTAACATCCTATACTGAATAATGTTCATTTTACCTGAATATTTTGAAAAAATTGTTAGAAAATTATTCTTTACCCATTAGGCTACTGAATAGTAACACAATGTAGAAAAATAAAATTATAAAAGAATTACTATAGCACATATTATATTTGTATATCCATGGTGTATTGATTTATTTAGAACAAATCACTTCAACAAAATTCTGGAATCTATAAGGTGAACTCCTACTAAAAGATTACTACAAATAATAAAAGAACTGCTTGTCAAAAAAACATATTATTACATTGAAGAATTCATAACAGATGATATGTCACTGTTGCAGTAACAAATGGTTTTGACATTAGTTATTTATAAATTATTTTTAATTTTGAATCTGTCAACTTGTGATTCAATTATATGTATTCTAAGAAAGCTTTTTGGTTTTCACTTCTTCATCTTTATAAAAAAAAAACTGAAAAACTTCCAGTTAGTATCTGATCTCTACATCTTTGTAGAGAACACAAAAGCATTATTTTTTTTCCTTCTTATAATTCATTTACTTCTGATTAATTCTCAGCTACATAAATCTCTACACAATACATGTTCAAAAGTATTTTTCAATATATTTCATTTTATTAAACTTATCCTGTTTTGAATATTACTGGAGTTTTATCCCAACACCAAACCGTTATTTTAATACCTCGACATGTGTTTCGATCACCAAGTGATTTTGTAATTATTAGTATTTGTTCCACTAACTGTAAGAATTTCAATGCAGTTTTGTTGACATAATTGCTATTCGACGTCAGTAAAGCATTTCTGATTAATATTTCTTCAATTACGAAAATATTTTCACTTTTCACTGTTGTTCCTGATGACACCACAATAGTATGATACTCAGGAAACGGTAATGAAATCAGTAAAAGTGTTAAAGTTGATTTAGGTTTAGTAAAAAAAGTGGTAAATTGCAAGTATATTATCCTTCAATAATAAGAATAATAATAGCATTTATTAGAAAACGTTTAAAAACCATTCACAGGGTTAACTGAGTATGTTAAAAAAGTAATATAGGTCCTTATAATTACAAAGTTTAATTTGAGAAAATGAATTATAAAATAAAAACTATACCAGAAATTTAAAAATTCTCCATGAAATACAGTGTCAACAATATATTCTAGGAAATCAAAACTGATATCACACAAATTTGAAATGAAATTGAACTTTTGCAAATACTAAAGATAGGTGACCTGAGGTACAAATTGGTTCTGGCCAGTCGGTTGTAAAAAGTTTTTGTACTTCTAGTTCTAATAAGGCACACAGAAATTTATAAGAGATAACACCTTCATAGCATCCACATTGTCGTGCATTAATTTATACAGAAAAATTATTCCACAAACTTTATGCGTAATTCAAGACTTTCAATATTGAATGTTACGGTAAGACATTCATATGGAAGACCTCTTTCAGGATAGATACCATAAGATTTGAAGTAAATGAACTTTAGGAAACGACAATGAACTTTTTCAATTAATAATTAATGTATTATAGCAATTGTAGAACGGAGATCATAGTACAGAGCCACATTCTAATTTTGACCTTACATAGGCTACATAAAGAGTAAATAGCAGATGTTTGAAAAAGATCTCAGTTGCGAACTATAAAGCCATAAACTCTTAATGCTTCACTTGCTTTTGATCTAATGTGGTTGTAAAAAAAACAAATTTTGATCAAAATATACAACAAGATTTTTAATTGAGTTACTTCGTGATAGTGAAATGGTATCTTCTTAATAATTGTACTTGATGACTGACATCCTCTTACTATAAGACATTACTTTACATTTGGATGCATTCAGATATGGTTTGTTAACTTTACACCAAGTCTGTATATTTTCTATCTGTCGTTGCAATATATTACAGTCTTCGATAGGTAAATATATTTTTAAATTATCTGCAAAAAATAACCTATTACAATCGACATAATTACTGAGGTCATTAATAAATAATAAGAATAGAAGTGCCCCAAGATTCGACCCCTGAGATACAAACTGTTTGCATTAATTGATGAAAATACTGCTGAATTATGGAAACCAAATTGAAATAGTAAGTATCTGCTTCATTTCTTATATTGTTTGATTTAAACCACCTGTAGATAATTCAATACATGTCTATATAGATATAATTTATTTACAACAATATACAAAACAAAAAATTAACAGGGTATCCCTCAGTCCTCAACATCGTCAATAAGGTACAGAAGGGCATCATTCTCATATGTAGGAAAATAAAACCTGAAATTAAAAAAAGTCATTAACTCTTCTACATGAAAATGTTCCATAAATAGGTTAAGAATGATATCATGAAACATTTTATAGGGAGCTAAAGTAGAATTTCCCATACTGAAGACTTGCCCAGAGCTCAGATGGAAGAATCCTAAGGTCTTCTTAGTAGTTAACAGTATTTATTATGAAGATCAGTATTTTATCGATTACAGTATCCAGGTGTTAAACCCTCAAATAAAATTATTCCAAGAAGAAAAATTTGGAGCTCAACTGTTCAGACTCTCATAAAATTTCTAATGATACTTACTCAGGCTGATCGAACACTTTCAACTCTGGTATTTTGTAGTGACTTTTCTCAGCTAGATGGTTTTTCAGATGATTAGTTGATTCGAAAGAAGCATCACAATATAAGCATTTCATGTCGTGAAACTGTCTGCGGATGAAATTGATCAATTTTATTTTCTGGTAGAAATCTAAATGTTCTGTTTGCTCAAAGAAATCAAAGTCATGATCACCATCCATGTGCAAACATAATGGATTGATAAGCGTCTCTTTTCTTTCGCAGAAAAGACACGTTATTTGGTTCTCTTCCTCATTCCAATCTGAATATTCTTCATCTGCATTCGACTCATAATCTATAAATAATACATTTCAATTTAAAAATATCGGTTGTGCTTTTATTATACTGAATCATTTAATGAATATTTATAGTTGTTTCATACCTGTAGGTGTGGCGTATGTGTCTGTCTCATTTTGTATTTTTTGCCAGTTTTTACCTTCTTCCAAGTAATTTACTATGTAAAATTTATCATATGCTGCGTTTTGGGGATTGATTCTTTTATGAAGTTTTTTTCTCATATGCTCTTTTAAAACATTCCTTTCAGGAAAAGATTTCTCACAAAATATGCATTGCAAATTTGATATGGTTTTCTCGATTTTATTCACCAATTCTTCAATAAACACTAAATTTTGTGAATTACCCAGCTGTAAGTTATGCTCATTCGAAAGATGTTCCAAATATTTTAATCTTGTGCCTACAAAGCAGACATTTATCATCAAACACTCATCAACAAAATTTTATCTACTACCTTCGAACACCAATTTACAAAACAAACAAGGTTTAATGTAACTATCATCATTTCTTTCAAATTCCTGAACCTTCAGTGCATATTCCAAACAGAGTTTATGGCGCAATATTTTATCTTCCTTCAACAGATTTGACATCACAAAATACTTTTTGTCTTCTCTCTGAATATTTATGGAAGGAATTATTTGTTCAGGGGGAGAGAATTTAAATTTATTTCTCCAGTACAGAACATACCTAAAAAAGTTTTTCATCAAGTTCAATTGTTTGCTATAATAATAAGTATGTATAATGGCCTTATTTTTTCAAATACATAACAATTTCCTAATTACAAAAATTTGCAAATTATAGCCAAAGTTGTGTATAATTGGGAGATACATCAGTAAATCTGCAGAACTTTTTCTGCCATTATATAACATTTGGATCGCAATCCAAATATCTTCTGATTATATACTCAACTATACAAAATCCACACTTCAATCCATTCACTTTTTTCTTAAACCCACAACATAAATAGAAATGACTGATATAATCACAAACCTAAAAACATTACAATGAGGTAAACCTGAAATAAGTCTAAAATATTGCAGATCTTTTATTGTAGGCCCACTAACTTTTTCCATCAACTGCTTTGTTGGAAGAAGGTGCCTCTACAGAAAGTTTGAAAGTTGGAAATATGTACCCAGACTTATTACTATTCTTAGTACAATTGCAAACGTATATGAAAAATGGCTGTCGAATTCAGTAGTTTCATTTTTCAACTTTCCTTCATAAGCTATCATAAAATTTCTTAAAATTCGATAGTCTTGATTTGAGTAAATGAACTATAGTTAAGATCTTCAATCTTTCTGAACCACACCACACCACAAAGTCTTTGATAGGGTACCACATAATACATATACAAACTTCACATCATAGTGCTTAATCCAATACAATATTTCTATCTAGAAATAATAGTTCAGGTCTAGAATCAACCAATGCAGACAAGCGTGAAGTGAAAGTTGAGGAACCTTCAATCTGCTCCTGGGGAACGAAATTTCGTTTGCAGATTTGAAACATTTCAACTTTGAAACCATATGAAACTTTTGTCAAACTGATAAATTATAATTGCCTATAAATTTGGAATAGGAACTATTATTAAAAATATTGAAATTTTAGAAAGAAATGAAAATGACAAAGGATTCTAGGTGATGTAACTTACAAAAATATACAATTTAATGTCCTAAACCTTATTAACACTTTAGAAATACGTTCAAACAAAATTTGCTCTCAAACAGAATAATGATATTTGAAAATTTGAGTGAAAACCAGTGCTGGCAAAAAGCATTAATAATTTTGTAAATGAAGACAAATATTCTAACACAAAACCCACATACAGAAGGGGGCATAAACCTATCATGATTTCATCGAAAATATTATTCTCGAAACAAGTTTCAATAGTTTCATCTACCTATCAGCTTGTATTGTAATAATTGTTAGTGGTGTTCCCCACTCAAGATCCAATAATAATGGGTTCAAATTCAGCTTTTGATAAGATACTCTTCTCACGTAAATTTGTCTGATTGAAGGTAGATTGATTCTGCTATATTACATAATTGATGGGGCTGTATTAGCCATGATAGTATCTAGGTGGCTTGTGGAATCATTAACATAATCTACCCAGAAGGTGAGGCCGTTACCATGGACACTGAAAAAAAATCTTTAAAATAATTTCAACTCACTCATGAAGATTCTTTATATTTTGTACATCTTCGATCACCACATTATGAACATCAAAAATATGAGACAGGAACAAAGGGAGGGATATTTTCAAGTTGAATGTATCTTCACAAAGTAAACATTTTGTTTCTGTAAAGCCTTCAATTTCCCCATAATCGCATTCTTTGAAAACCAATGGGCCAAAGGTTCTGGTTGATATCTCTGAAACAATTTCAAATGAGGAGTTATGAAGGTTAAAATAAGTGGGGTAGTTCAATAGTAGTGCCTATAATGTTTCTACCCAACCAACAACCTACACCTTTCAATGTAGTACATGAAACTGAATTAATTCATTCAATTTACCTGCTGAATCCATGGACTTCTTCTATAGTAAACACAAGGGTACAGGTTACAAAAAATCAGAAAGAAAAGGTGGAGTTGTAGACTGAGAAATAGTGTCCGAATTCCTGTAGTAGGAGGATTTATGTTTAGGCAACATAAACTATCACCTTTACTTTCACTATGAGAAATAAAAATAATACCAATACTGTTATTGTTATTTAATACATAGGGGCAGTGTTGCCACACCTCAATTGTCATATTTTCGACAGTCCAGGAAGGCCTCATCAGTCCTCGACCATAGTGCTCCACTTGGAGCACAATTATTTTTTCAATATCTAAATTCTTTTGAAGACTCTTCTTTTATTACAACATTTCAGACTACGATTTGATGAACACTCGGACAGAAAAAAATTCTTGAATGATTAGGGTGAATTATTCGGCAACACTGCATCGACGAGAACTTGAGTTTCATTTTCAGATGAATAAAATGGTTTCATTCCCAATTCCAGTTGTTCTGAAATGGTGGAAGTAAAATATTCATGATTATATGAAATTTGATGAAGAAAACTTCAATAACTTTTATAGAGTAGCTACCATGCATCAAATGTCAAATTGTGGTCAAATCTAGAAGAAGAAGAATGGTTTTCCACTTCCAACGTGCTTCCAACTATTCATTGAGGATACGGATAAGGAATAAAAAAACTATAATGACCGTATTAAACCTTAAGCTAACTTAACGAGTAAGTTCCATATGCATCATAGAAAAATCAACCTTACTCCCCACTTTGGCAGTTAGATCCTTCAAATCAAACTTTCATTAAACTAGCCTTGCATGCTTTCTGTGTAGTGGGCACTGGTAAATACTAAGTATCACTATAACCTATACGTGTATCCACAAATAACAGCGATTATATAAGGGAGGCGCCACTGTAACAAGAGTGTAAATTTTAAATGAACTTCTAAAATTTAATGAATAAAAACAGTCGGATAAAACGATAGTAGAAACTCTCGCTTCGAAATGAAACTCTCAACAAAAAAAATTGTTTCGTTGACTTGCAACATGATCTCACAGTAATTTTGTTAGATTATATTTACCAAATGATATTTGACTACGTGAGTAGTTACATTTCTTTAAGCTAAATATCATTAACAACTCGAGTCATTCAAAATAATAAATATTCGAAATCAGCAAACTTCACGTTCTCTACAATTGCTGAATTCATATCATACCACTCTTGATATTAGCGCAATTTTGGTCGAATTTCAAACTATAATTTAGCGTTTACTATAGTGGGCCTTTTTTCAGCTAACAGCTAAATCCCCACTTGAGATGGTTCTCCTTACCGCTACTCTTCATAATATACGTATATATGTTCAAAAATATGTTTTTTTTTTGTTAACCACCTATCGCACCCTTAAGAACGACAACCCTCAGAAATCGAAACTTGTGCGAGCTAAGGACTAACGAGGTCTTACCTTTCAACGTGTGATTCCTAACACGAATTGGACAATAGCAAGTGAAAATCGAGCGTTCAGTCTGGGTCTTGAACCATCGACTCACACATCGGCCGATGGACTGAGTGAACAAAGCACCCACGTCGAACCGCCCGGCTACCGACCGACGCTCTCACACTTTTTNATTTCTCGACATTTTAGTAAAAATTTCATGAACGCATATCGATTATTAACAGAGATATACCAAAAAAATATTCTAAATTAACAAAAGCTCGACTAATAAGTTTGGCAAAGCCGCACGTGAAATTTGCTCTATCCCACTTCCGACAGTCTACACGTTATCACCGTATAGAAGTGAATACGGTGATGTGGATAACGTGGATAACATCACATAGACGGATGGACAAATGGACCTGATTCAGGGAAGCAACGTCCAGTAAACCTTGAAGAGAGAGAGAGAGATTTTTGACAAAAACCCATTCAGGCATCTTTCTCAAACCTATAGTTTTTTATGCTCTAAGCTAACCTATAAATTTTATTTCAGGTTAGGATTAGGAACTTGGATAGTATATTTCAGAAATAGGTATATTTATATATGGCTCCGACTAAAAATAAACTTCGCTCAAGGGAGCCCAGAAACTCTGGAATGGATTTATTATTCAAAAAATATTTTAGCCAAATTTTCGTTAAAAAACTAATATTTGATCCAAATTACTTATCACCAGTGTGTTGGTTACTACTAATATTTGAAACATTCCTGAACATTATAATCATAGAAAAAGTAAAGTATACGGAAATTGATTGGATAGCTTATATGCAAGAAGTTGAAGGATTTCTAAATGGAACGCTGGACTATAAAGAATTGAGAGGTAAATTTGAAAAAAGAGACTTCCTATTTAATAAGTTCGAAAATTTCAGGTGATACTGGACCATTAGTCTATCCAGCTGGATTTGTGTATATCTTTTCCATTCTCTATTATATAACATCACAAGGAAAGAACATATATTTTGCACAATATATATTTTTGGTATTTTATTTGCTACAGACATTTCTCGTTCAGCGCATTTTCAGGAAAACTTTGAAACTTCCACCTTACGCCTTAGTTCTAACCACTTTAACCTCTTACCGAATACATTCAATATTTGTATTACGGCTCTTTAATGATCCCATAGCTGTACTTCTTTTCTATGTCAGTCTCAACTTGTTCTTATCTAACAAATGGCTGTTGGGTAGTGTTTTTTATTCTTTGGCAGTTTCTGTCAAAATGAACATTCTCTTGTATTCACCCTCTTTGCTTATGGCATATTTAACAAATTTGTCATATTCAGACACATTTTACAATTTGTTAGTTTGTGCCCTCATTCAATTAATTTTAGGAACTCCATTTTTATATGGCAATATATTTTCATATATCAAAGGTAGTTTTGATTTTGGTAGAATTTTTGAACATAAGTGGACAGTTAATTTTAGATTCATACCACAAAATATTTTTGAGGATCGTTTTTTTCATCTTCTCTTATTGGTCCTTCATATATCTTTGTTGATTATCTTTACACCGCATTTCAAAAGGTATTTGAGTAGTTATGCTAAGTTGAATGTGGTAACTGCACACTTAAAGTCTCAAATAAAAATAGAAAAGAAGAAACAAAAGCTAGAAAGTGAGAAAATGACCAAAAATCAAAAACAGTTCTTGGATTCTTTTGAAAAACAATTGAAAAGTGGGAGTGGCAGTGAAGCTGAAAATGTTTATGATGAAAATTCTAAAATAGAAAATAATATGTCAAAAATCAGCCAACTTTTTGTTTTGCCGTTTTTCATAACAAATTTTATTGGTGTTGCTTGTGCAAGATCTCTACATTATCAATTCTATAGCTGGTATTTTCATAGTTTACTATACTTAGTCTTTTGTACAGGGTTCAGCAAGCCATGTTCATTTCTATTATTAGGTCTTATAGAATATTGTTGGAATGTGTATCCCAGCACAAACTTTTCAAGTATTTTATTACATATTTGTCATTTCATAATATTATTCGGATTGTATAGAAATATAAGAAAATAATACTTCATTGTATTTCATTTCTGTATACCCATCCCAGTTAATTTTGTGATAGAGAATAGATATGTTGATAAAAAAATATTATCCCAGCATAAATCAACGGATTTAATGAAATATCTTGAAACAAACCAAAAACATCTAAAAATACATAATTTATATAAGATACAAAATGTCGTCAACATTTAGATATGAACTGACTGCAATAATTTTATTTGCAAATAAAAGGGATGGCAACAATAATTATTCCTTTATTAGTTTACCATATAAAAATTAAACCATAAAGAATAAATGTTTCAACGTTCTAAACAAGACAGATTATCAAATGAGTAACATAAGTATTATCAAGAGTCTCTCCATTTTTGATTAATTTCTCCTATTTCTAAGGAACTGGTAAACTCTTATTAATAAAATAATGGATGGTGGAACTTGCTGGGTTTCACAAAGTTCCTACACTCATTAAAATATATTGAATATTTTACATCACTACAAAGTTATATATTCTTTGAGTTGTGACAGCGTATCTACATCAACACAGTGTAATAGTTGCTGAAACTGTTCCATGCCCACTTGGTTCCTCAATTCACATAACTGTGATTGAAGATAATCCTTCAAAATAATTGTGTGAACAGGATCTGACAAAACAAGTTGCCTTTTTCTCTGATCGTGATCAGTTTCATAGTAACCATCTCCATCCTCATCGAAATGACTAGGGCTCTGACCTTCTCTTATTACCAAAGAATCAATCATTTCTCCATTATCTTCAGCTTTTGTAATATCGTTGAGAGTCTCTAAAACGTTCAACATTATTAGCCCAAACCTTTCTAAAACAGGTCCACTTCGAGTAGTTAACAAGTTAGCTAAGGCCAATCCTAACAGTTTTCTGTGATCCGGTTGAGCCACATTTCTCATTTTGTCCAGCCAGACATCTAAAATTTTACCTAAAGTTACTAAATCTGATTCTTTATGTGCTTGGGCAAGGGTAACCAGCACTCTCGTAAATACTTCATGTGATGATAGTAACACTCTTGACAGAGTACAAAGAAACATAGTCATTAGTAATGAATAGTCTTCAGCACAATATATTCTCTCGAATATTTTTGGAAGGATAGGCAGCACTGTTTCAGCTCCTAAAACTGGCGAAGCTCTAATGAAAGTTTCAACAAGCCTCATCAACATTACAACTCCTTCATTTTTAAGGTCAGATATCAGACCGGCACACACTTGCATGATCTGAATACCACTTGTACGCATAACAAGTTCAGGAGCCAACAAAAGATGGACCAGACATATAACTAAACTCTGGCGCAAGGTCTCTGTTGAGTACTCTAATAGGGGAGGCATATTATTGAATATTCGCATCAATTCGTTAGTCATAGTAGGGGAATACTCCAAAACTGTCAACCAGAGATCGAGAGAATCTTCCAGTAGATATACTATAGCATTATGCGATGTGTCAGTACCAAGTTGAATAATGGGTAGCAAAAAAGGATTCAGTTCAGGTTTGACACCCCCTAAAGATTTAACCAGTTGTACCAATGTGGAAACTATAGCACATCTGAGCATGTTATGCTCTTCAGATTCTTGCCACAGGTGTGGCAGATATTGCACAAGAGAATCCAGTTGAAGATGTGTTGTGCTGCCCATTCTCTCCAGTAGAAGTGTCATGACGTTTAACACTTGCATCTTTGTGTCACATTCCTTTGATTCTTTCAGCAAGGTAAAGAGAAGATTGAAGGCATCAAACATATAATCTTTGAACTGTTCGGAGTTGAACTCAAAGTCATCGATTGCAAACCGTAAAGTGGATGCAGCAGTCAGTCTCACAGCCATATCTTCATCGGAAGATAATAAATTATTAATACAGTCATACAGAGCCGGTCTGAGTTCGCTAGATAATTTAATACCAGTCCAACGTCCTATTAATGAAAGTGCTCGTCTTCGAATCACCCTATAATTGTTATGTTTAATCTTCAACTCCTGGAGAAGAGTGTTCATGAACCATCCATCAAAGTCAATTTCGTCGTATAAATCAAAAGCACATAAGCCGACGGCATTATACACGGCATCCTTTTTTAAAATAGCTGGCATATCCTCTGGTGAAACTAATATATTTGTATCTGCCACCATTTGTAGTAGAACAGGGATCAAATAGTCTCTGTATTCATGAAAAATCGTCACAAAAACTGTATCAATGCTGGGTCTCAGACTGTATTTCCAACTATCCCCACTTTCATCATTTGAAAATTCTTCAGGCTCAGCATCCCATAAATCTAATTCATCTTGGGTTAAAATAAAGTAATGACCCACTAATTTCCTACACATGTCGGACACTGTTTCTGGTTGAAAAAACATCAATTTCATTTGATGTGCACGTAACGTTTCCGGATGTTTTGTTTTTTCTATCATTTTAGCAGCCTTGAATTCCACACATAATAAGATATTTTTAATAATGTTCAAACACTGTATAACAAATCTCTCAAATATTAAACTGATGCCTTCATCAGTGAAGAGATAATAAAATGTGAATTCCAAACTGGGTTGAATAAAGTCGATAAATGAAAACGGATGCATGTCCAAAACAGACAGCAATACCTTAGTGAGGTGTATTATGAATTTTTCACAGAGTTCCAAAACATAAATTCCTTTTCCCTTCAGCTGTTTGCGGCACTGAATAGCAGTTTTTGCCTTTTCAAAAACCACCTTCATGAAAGAGACACAATCTTGATTTTCGTGGGGTTTGTAGAAACCAAAAACTGTCAATTTTCTCAAAATCCTGAGAGTAAGCAGTGACTTTTCTAAATTCAAGGTTATATCCTGTGTACTAGCATTTTGAAGGATGTCTCGAACAAATGCTTCAGTATAGTTATTCCACATATTCAAAATGAATGTATATATGCTCAAGGTGAGTTCATGAAATAGCCTTCGATCAGCTGCCAATCTCTTGGATGAAATTGCTTTCACGACATGGTGTAACGTTAACAACGATCTATGTTGAATGAGGCTATCAGGATTTCCAACTGCTGCTAGAAGTGTGGGAAAAAGGTCCGGCCACTCCTTTGGATAATCAAGACGAGCAATTTTTGAAATGAGAACTGCTTTCTGTACTGCAATCTGGCTGATTGGTTCAGTGAAATTAGTCAGCAACCCCTGTCTGATATTGTGTTTTTCTTCTTCAGATATAGCGTTTGGAGCATTTCTTCTCCAATATTTGTCAACTCCATTTTTCATGTATAGTACAGCTATCCACCTCACATTTACATCAAAGGTATGGTTAGATATTACGTTTTGTAATACAGCATAGAATCCAGGCTGTGTTTCCCATTCCTTCAGTTTAGCTTCTGCTGGTTTGAGAATTTCAGGATTCTGACTAGATGCTCCCTGGAGAACTTCTAAAACTAGAACGTGAGTCGACTCCATGTTCATTTGATATTTACATTGGAGTAACTACAATGGTAATATTTCAGTGCACTAGTAAATATATCGTAATCAATCTTGTGAAGAAATAAGTCTCTTAGGTTCCGGGATTATTTGATCAATTCTGTAGCTGTGCTAGTCCAATGGTTCCAGTTTTACCCTTGTGTCATGCTCAACATACGGCTCCTGTTTAACTCTTTTAAGTGAGGGTTTCATGTCTTCATCATCATCATCATCGTCATCAACTAAAAGACAAAGAAAAATATTACAATTAGGTTTTAATATTTGCATTTCTTAAAATATATTTCAATGTTCCATTACTTGTGTTGGGTGCACTAATGATTATTTTGTTCTTTTACAAGTATCAAAAATTCATGAGAAAAGAACAAAATTCTGTACCACTTTGTTTTCATAATTTGAAATGTTGAAGTACATATAGAGTATATATGATTCATATTATTATTTTGTCTTGTAAAAATCTTCGACATTAATGTTATTTCTAGATTTTTTGAATAATAACTCTGATACAATCTGCCAACATGTTCTATTCATACTAGAACTAAATAATTTATTTTCATAAGATATCTTCCTGGTTTCTTCAAGACTGCCACATATTTTTTTTTTATGAATATGTCAAGTTCAGGATTCATGGCAATGCAAATTTACTGTAGAGATTATTCTATTTACTTTATGAAAAAGAGACAATCTATTAGTAATAACAATGATGAATTCAAAAATATAAAAGTCAGCAGAATCATAAATCATAGTCATAAGCCGTCCCAGAACAAAAATGTGTTTATGAATGTCACAACAACGAAGCAAGATATAAATATAAGATTTTATTTCTAATTGGAAATAAAATACTCATATTTTATATCTATTCTGGATACTTGCAAAACCTTCTGGTTTAATGTGAATCAATCAATGTATGGCTCATTTTGAATTATTTAGGTTTATCTTCTTACTGATGTGTTTTGTTATGTGTATATTTTTTTAAACTTCTGACATAAGAAACGCTGACAATAAAAAATATTTCTCTCTCACTATTCAATCAATCAATCAATCAATCAAAATATACTTTATTGTCCAAGAATAACAATTATCATGACAAAGCACACAGTCACCATGATAACATCACAAATATACAGTTAGCAAGGAGATCATAAATACACATAAATTCACACTTACAATAAGCGGACATAATCAAATATACAAAAGCAACAAGATTTACACCACTAAGCCAAATAACATTGAACAACAAAACTATGATGTGCCAATTAAATGAATAAAGTAACATGCTGAAAAAAAAAAAGAAAAAATTTTTACATTTTGTACATGAAATTACAAGGACTACCTCTAAATATATAAAGAAATAGGGATACGTTATATGACCGCCGCCAAAGATAGAGATCTCAGCAAAAAGAATACTGAAAGTATTCTTCCAGGGTATAGTAGGCCCTCCCAACTATGAGCGTTTTTACAGATTTTCTGAACTTGACTTCGCTTTTGATGACACGCAAGGTTAGGGGAAGGTGATTGAAAATTTTCTTGCCCCCAAAAATTAGAGAGTTGCGAGTTAAGGTTGAGGAGGGAATTGGAAGCGAGATTAAGTGAGAGGAGCGAGTGCTATAGCTTGACTCAGAAATAATTATAGCTTGGTATTTCTTGTGCATGAGGCAAGCCATTTCCAAAATGTAGATACAACCAATGTCAGAACTCCATGTTGCATAAACAAGGGACGACAGGATTCACGGTAATCAGAACTACATAGGTATCTAATTGCCCTTTTTTGGAGAATACTCTTTGAAATAAATACTGAGCACAAGCGCCCCAAAAGCAGATTCCATAATGAAGATGAGATTCTATTAGTGCGTAGTATACATTCTTCGCTATACCCAAATTCAACTCATTAGCAACAACTCGAACCGCAAAGCAACCGGAAGCTAATAGATTGCATAGTTTTGTAATATGGTTACCAAACTTCAATTTATTATCAATCAGAAGTTCCAGAAATTTATTATCCGTAGAAAGGGAGACTTGTTCCTTGTCCAAATAAACATCATCTAAGTCGCACTTGAATGTTATGATATTTGTTTTGCTTATATTGAAAGCTAGAAGATTGGAATCACACCAATTCTTAACTTTTTCTATATCTATGCTTATGTGGTAGTTGAGCTCTGAAGAGCTTTTGTTGTGCCATAGAATCGATGTATCATTTGCAAAAATAGTAATTTCACCATTGATGTCTAAGTTGGTGAGGTCGTTAATATAAATGAGAAATAGAGTCGGGCCCAAAACTGATCCTTGAGGAACTCCACTACCATTAAATGATACAATTTGGCCACACTTCGATAAGTACGACCTGAGCCAGGACAGTTCCGTGCCTCGAAACCCATAAACTTCAAGTTTGCGGCGCAGTATTCCATGATTTACGAAGTCGAATGCCTTTGATAAATCACTGAATATCACCGCCGCAGCCTCTCGTTCATTTAAATTAATATAAAGAGATTCTAAGAAAGTGAAAATGGCGTCCTGAGTGTTCTTAGAACATTGAAATCTATATTGGCGGTTACTTAAAATATTATATTTTTCAGTTAGTAACTTGAAATAATTGTATAATCGATTAGTTGGTATTAGAGTATTTCAATAATTGAATGAATATTTGTTAGAATAGAACAGTGACATGAAGTACGGATACATAGATAATTCAAATACTCTGCGAGTCCGATGAAATATTTTTCAGTAACAACTCAGGTGGATTGAGTACAAATTATTCGAGATATTAAAAAATATGTAACTACAGACATATATATTTATATTTTTATATTTAAAGTGGTTTCGTTATTCATATTGAATATATTAGAATTTGTTCAAGATAAATTATTTCCGCTCATTTATTTATTATACATCAAAATTGTTAAGAATATTTCTTCAATAGTATATTATAAACACTCTTGGCTGAACCAGAAAGTCTTTCAAAACCTATTGACTTGATTTTTTTTTAGTATCGAGTTATCTGTATCTACAAAAATTATAATGCTACTCACTGAATAAGCAAATATTGAATAACCGATTATTCACTTACAACTCAAAACACAGGTAGCAAGCAGTTCGATTAATATCATATCAACTCGGACCACTATCCGATTATCTTTCATTCCAACCTTCTTCATGCAGAATGAATCATCTCACCACTAATTTCAATATACTTTTCAAGAAGATTAAAGCTGTTTATATAAACACTATCATTGAAGGTGTGAAGCTAGCTTCAATTCATAATCAACTTACCAGCAGGAATCACAAGTTCTCTTTGTTTCTTTGTCAGGAAATAATTCAGCGAAAGACAATTATCACAACAGCGTTCTTTTCTAGTATGGTCTTTTTCATAAACTAATAAGCATTGAGCATGTTTCCAATATTCTGTCTTCACTTGTGAGGCGGTTTTATTTGTTCTGTGAAAATTTCTATTTCCTAAACAAGTACCAAATCTACAAATGAATTATAAATAGATCATTTTATTTTGCATATATAGTTGCTAACCTTCCAAGAGTTGATAAACACTCTTCTAAATCGACTACACTATTTATATCACTCGTATTCAAAATCTTGTCACTCAACTTATTATTTCCAACATAAACTTCAAGCTCTAAATAATTACTCAAAATCAACTGTTTTTGTAAGCTAGCAGGACCACTGTGTGACAATTTTATTTCTATAAAAGCGATTCGATCATTTGATGCTACGATGCACCAATTATCTGGTTTTATCTGTTTTGCAAATTTACAAACTTCTTTGAAAGACCAACCAATATTGTTCAAGTCTTCAGAATAATTGTTGTCTATTGACATTTTATTTTCGATGACATCTTTCGTAATTTTCAGAGGTTATTCTATGATATTCTTCTTCTCATATTTTTCAAGAATAGAGTGATCCATGTCATGGGTAACGTATGCGTAGGTGATATCACAGCGATCGATTCTTGAGAAATTGGTATTCTCGCAACTTTCGTAAATAAACAACTCATATAGGATATGAGACATCTATTTAGTTATCATAGGACTGAGTACACGTAGAACTGCTCGACATTCGAGTATCAAGCCTCACGAAGGCTATTCTCGAATCACTCACTCTTTTGCGATCGTTCGAAGAAACGATTCCTTTGAAAACAGTGTTCTCGTGTTCATGGTTTAATCATTTGCAGGCATTCATACACATCAATCAGACAGTTCTCACATGCAATCACTCGTAGTTATACGTATACGTAGTTCTGTGAATGTTCGTGCGAACTCTTTCTCAGATCCTTCATTATTGGGTATGAATTGCAGATCTGTGAATTTTTCAAAAATACCAGTTTCACACTTGTTCGCTTTGATGTCACCTGCACTTATGTTGCAAACGACGGTTATTATAGAATAGCCCCCCAGATCTAAATGTCTCTCAACCCACCCATTCTTGTTGTAGTCCCTACTGCAGATAGGAAGCTAGGTTCATAGAAGTTTGATCTGGAGGCTCTGAGCCGCCAAAATGAAGGGCATACCTTTGAATGGGCTTAAGGCTGATTTTTGTTACGATGCTCGAGGCATTTGTTGATTAAGCTCAATGTCTGAGCCAGATCTAATAGTCTACGAAGAAGAGGGGCTACAAAATCAATTATATTATTTTTCCATAATTCACAGTTACAACTGATTATCAAGAAATTCACACTTACAACTGCGAATTCATAATTACATCTGTAAATTATGATAAGCGTCTGAAGACAGTAAATTCCTTGCATGTTCACTTCGTACTCAGCAAAATAGATAACTTAACCTAGCTAAAGTTAGATTCAATTAGTGCAACTAGAACCTTGGAAACTATCATGTATTGGAATTCATCAGTTGTTTATAGCTTTGGCTTGGTTAGGTTTCAGGTTATATTTTGTTTTCATTACCTGACATCTATAATCCTGAGTACACAGTGTGGATGTAAAGAGATTTCTGTCTACAGACTCTTGTCCCACTTTACAGTTATAACTGGGAAGTCACACTCATTGACAGTTTGAATTGCAAATTCACACTTATAACTATAAATTCACAGTAATATTATTGATTTTTGTGGCCCTTGTACTCTTTCGTACAAAATAACTTTTGAGTTGTGATTTTTTATTATTTGAAGAAAGTGACAAGCTATTCGCATATAATTATGCCGAAATAATTTCATTTGAATATGAAATCACATTGTAATTGTACACCAGAAGAATATGACACTATAACAAACATATTCTTGAAACATGTGAAAAATAAATACGATTCAACTGTTACTCGAAAAATCATTAGGTTGAAGCTAATATTCAAATTGTGCTATTGGTATACATAAAATGCATATGAATAATCGTAGTATGAAGTCAAGAATACAGAATACGAACTTCTTTCAATCTTAGTGTGCGAACGATTACTTATGAATCTACATTCTTGAGTTCACGCTACGAATAGCCTCAAACCACTTGTTATTATGTGGTTAACAGTCAAAACGCATTATTGCAAATATTTCAAGAATACCAGTCTCTTAGAAATCGTTCGAAGAAAAGTAATCTGCTCATAAGTTGCGAACGAAGAGTGAATCGAAAATAGAGCAGCTGGACTCAAACTGCACACTTCAGCTGAATAAAGGTTATTTATGATAATAATTGTGAAATATGTGGTAAAGGACATGAAACAGAAACCCCAATTCGTATCAGGGCTATAGACGAGTTCTTGAATTCATCGATGTGTCCACCATTAATGATGGATTCATCTATTGGTCCATCCGAAACGCTAGCCAAAGCAATTAATCGGTCGGAATTTTTTTGTTGAATTCAAGAACTCGTCTCAATATTCCAAATTGTATTACTTTATGTTCACGTTCATAAAATTGCTAAAATTTTGGCTGCTTAAATTTTGACAGTCAAAAGGCCCAAGTTTAATATGTAGCTCCAAATATTTTTCACAGCTTCATTGGGGCTAATGTACTTGGTAATATCAAAATATTTTAATAATTAACATTTGCATGTTCGATGGATTATTCATTGGTCCATTCGAAACTTTGGCGCATTTATATTGGTTGAAGCAATATATCAAAAATATATTTGAATTTAAGAACTCAACTCATGCATGTCTAACCACGTATATCTGATATTTCTGTTTAGTGCATAGGACTTATTACTTATTCCGTTATGGTTTCTATGCACAAAGCACGTATATTATTATATGTTTTCTGTTTCTAGTTTCTATGTCCTGTCCGAGAATGTCTACTACAGAGAAGCGACATAAACGTCGGATCCTTTGATGTTCGATGTCCCAACTCCGAACCGAAGATTTTGAGTGAAAGACAACCGGTTCACTGAGAAAAATGACCTCTCAGCGATATACACTAATAAAAATACATACTTTTACGTTTTAGTATAGTACGTGGGCTCACTAAGGATGAAATGAATAGAAGTGACTTTTGTTATTTTATGTAATCTTAACTTAAACTTTCATCAACAACTTCAATACAATCTGATGGTTCTAATTAAATAAGGTTCCAAATGAAAAAATAATGAAACAAGATATTTTACCAAAACCTCTTAATTTGAAAATGTGACAGAATCTTAAGTTTCCTTTTTACACTTTTACCTTTGGTATTATTGATATCTCTATTAGTATATTTGATACTATAAAAAAATTTCATTCTTATGAATAGCTTAATTATGTATATTTTTGGAAAATTTTCACAAGGATGAAGAAAATCTACATCCTTCATTAGGTTGAATAATATATTCGAAACTGCTCCCTCAGTAGAAATTTCTGTAAATCGATTGTTAAATAAACATTCCAACTGATATATAAAATTAATGAATTCATCTGGTGGTGAGCGCAAATTTCCAAACATGTTTTTTTCCTTAGTATAACCTTTAAAATAGCTTAACAGACGATTTACATCCAAAGTCCTGCACTTCGTGCTGAAAGAGTGACACATATAACATGTATGAACTTGAAGAGCTTTTTTTAAAATGTATCCACAAACGTAACTGAATGAATTCTGAGTACATACATCTTATCATAATCCGGAAGGGCAAAGGCTGGAGAAAAGTGATTCTCATCTGATATAAATGTATCATTTACGTTTGTGGATTGTATACTGATTAATAAATCATCTAAATCATTCTTACAATTCATATGATTGGAATGAAAATTATTTTGGCAAAACAACTTCCGGAATGCCCTTTGATATAGTATGGGGGTCGGATTAACATTATTTCCACATTGTTGTCTTACAGCACCAAAAATATTTACAAGACAATCTGAATTGAGTCGTCTCGTTCTTAAATATTTATAATTTAATTTGGAAAGCTTATCCCATATTTCAATTACACTATTCATTTGAATAATCCAGCATTTTCTAAATTTGACTCGATTTGTGACATTTTTGTTCTCTGAATTGAAAATTTCAAGATTTTTCAAAAACGTTAGAGCCTCTTCAAAAAAATCTAATTGGAATTTCGAACCTTCTGGAACGTTTTTGTATTTATAGGGATGTCGTAAAGAACACGAATTTAACAAATCAAAAAGGTTATTGAATATCTATTATGTGTATTGTATCAAAAGAAGAAGCAGGAAGTAAGTTAATTGCCCGCGAATGCATTCATTCCACTCGCAACTGTACGGCTTAGAACTTATGTTGCTAGACTCACTTTCATTTTTTCAAAATTGTTTGGATTGATATGGTGCGAATCTATAAAATTGCCTTATGTCTTGTTCATAAAAAGAGCGCACAAAAGACCAAGATGTACTTTTGCCTTCAAAATGAAATGAATGTTTTGAAAAATTGTTTCTAGTGCCTTTTATCAAATGACTTGGATCAAAAATATAAACAAGTTTTTTTACCACTGAGCTCAAATTCAGATTCTTCTAAAGTGACCCCTAATAACTTTGACAATTCATAAAAGTTAGAGCCCATGTTACTCACAAAATGCCATCAACATGCAAGACCTACAATATTGGATAATTTAGAAATGCACTTATCCAAAATATCACGTAGATTTTTTGCTGGTAGCTGTGATTCAATGAAAAAAAAGCAATCGATTGTTTCCAGGGAGAATAAAGTCCTCTAGCCATAATAACGAGAACATTTCTACATTTGGAATTCCTCTTATTTGCCTTTCCAGTATCTTCGAAACCAATAATTTCATCACATCCTGTATCAATAAAAAGACTGGATTTTAAAGCCATCTCATCTATAGATATCACACATCGCTTGTCCTATTCGAGCATTGTTTTAATTTTAATTTCAAGTGCCTTAAATATTGCTGAATTTTCTACTGTTTCTCCCACGATGTATTCTTCAAAACTAATTATCTCCTGAAAACTCTTGCTCAAATAGCATAATTTTAATGTATACCGAGTTAGGTAGGTACCTTTTGTAACTAACTACCTACCTCATTATGTTTGCTCAGTGGTCACAGACTAATGGAGACAACTAAGCCCGAGAATAACGTGAGACAATCAAGTCGACGCATGCGTCTACGAAAAAAGAACACAAAATGGCCATCTTTGTCGCTTCTCTGTGGTAGGTGTTCTCGGGTCCTGTTCTCTTCACAATTCTGTCACAGCATTGATGAGCGTTGTGATTCTGTACTTTGTATGGAATATTTAGTGGTATTTGTTAGCAAAGTGTAGGGATAGAGATAAATTAAACTTATTTGGTAGGTTGTAACTTGCATTCATTACTTAAGAAGTAATTTATATTCTGTCATGGGATAGTCCCCAAAAACTATTTTGCATATACTGATTCCTAGTTGAGGTTAAATTAAGACATATGCTTTCAACTTTTCCAGTAGTTTTATTGAATATCTTTGTAACTTATTCATCTATGAATTTCAGGATTCAATTAACACAACAGAAAAATGAGTAGGTTTTTTGCTGGATCCGACTCTGATTCGGATAGTTCTTCAGAAGAGGAGCAAATTCAGCGCCCCCAAGTTCCAGTCTACACTGTACGTATTGCCTTTGTCCTTTCAGTGTTGAAATACGAATTAGTATAAAAATTAAATTTTACACTTATTTATAGTTCAGTGATGACGAAGAGGAAGAAAAGAGGGTTGTGCGGTCTGCTAAGGAAAAGCGCTATGAAGAACTTACAAACATTATCAAACAAATTCGTAATTTCAAAAAAATCAAGGATATGACTAGCATGCTAAATAGTAAGTTTTATACTTTTGTATTAGCGGCTCATGCTAGATTTTAGACTTTTGTATCATTGTTCGCTGATCACTAATTTGAATTCAAAACTTGACGATCCAATTAAATTTTAGATATAAGACTTCTCAAAATTATTTGTCAAAAAAGTACATTTTTCTTTTCACAATGACATGCTGCAGACCTTTATTCATCAATTTCAAATGTTTTACAGACTAAAAAACCTCTATTTTAGCATAATAAGCTTGTTTTTGGAATCATACTATAAATGATGTTATTGCTTTACTAGAGTTTCAGTTATTATTTGTTGGCAATATCAAAAAAATTCAAAGTCAACCCTAGTTTTGTAAATTTTACTTAGCTTCATTGTCATTGGCATCGCTTTAGGCTTTGCCAAACAAATATTGAACACCTGGATGGCAAGAAGATTTGTGGACTTCTGGCAGAATCTTCCAGGATTGGCTCACTCCAAAGGCATTTATTCACCCTTTGAAGCTTGATACCAAACATTTGTTGAACTACAGTAGGGAGAACTAAGATGTTTAACAGGCCTTCTTACAGGTCACTGTCATTTGAATTACAATATGCAGAGACTCAGACTGTCGGAAAACAGTGTGTGTCACCTCTGTTTGGAAAATGATGAAACAGCAAAGCACATACTTTGTGCCTGCCCCGCTGGGGACCGAGTCAGGTTTTTAGAGTTCGGCAGAGCTGTAATCTTACCATTTGGCCTGAAAGACAACTCATCATACAAACTAATCGGCTTCGTTAAGAAGCTGGGTTTATTTGGTCAAGTGTGAATAGGTGTGAGCCACAATAAACCCTTGTCGATTGCATTTTGTAACACTGCCAACATATCCAACGAAAAAGTCACTTCTGAAAGTGTTATTTAATTTGGTAAAGAATCATGACATAATTTGCTGGATAATGTGCAATTTTCAGAAAATTAAACATTTGATATGTAGAAAAAAGGGAAGTGATGAGTGAGTGAAAGTTCATAGCATGTAATTTTTGAAAGATGTTATTTTTCACAAGGTCCTATTACTGAAAGTGAGTTCCTGATCTTTTGACCTTAATGACAATATCTCCGAAAATAGAAGAAAATATGTAAGTCTATCAAAATATATGATCACAGTTCACTTTGAGAAATTATTTTTTAAGGTGGATCAATAACTTTTTAATAAAAGGTATTCTTTATCTCTACTTATTATAGTAGACTTGATAGATGTGTATTAATATCTTTCACTGTAGGTTTCGAACTTTTACAAAAGGCCTATACGAAGGCCACTCCAGTAATAACAAAGGATGATAACGGACAAATTCCACGTTTCTTCATCAGATGCTTGACGGAAATGGAAGATTTCATCAATGATATGTGGGAAGATAAAGAGGGGCGCAAAAATATGAACAAGAATAACAGTAAGTCACTGGGTTCAATGAGACAAAAACTTAGAAAGTACTTGAAAGAATTCGAAAAAGACATATCGAAGTTCAAAGAAAACCCAAAACAGACTGATGATGAAGAAGAGGAGGAAAAACGTGAGTTGAAAACTTATTTTTGTATAATTTACACATTCTTATACCTTTTATATGAGACTTGATTCTCCATTTGTTTACAAACTTTTTTTATCGACCTTTTTTTGGGTATTTGTTACCTTCCACAATCTGAAAAATATAAAAATTATAATGGAGAACTTCTGCGTAAAAATCAAAGTATTTTTCACAAAGAAAAATCTTCTATTTATCAGTAACTTGTCGTATTTAACAATTTTGCCTATCAAAAAAATTGTTAAGAAATAATAAAATACTTACCTTTACATTTTGGAGGCCAATATCTGCCTCCGTCTTCAGAAATGGAAAAAAAATTCTAATATATTGGCAGTTATTCCTTTTTGATTATTTATTTCTTTACTTCTTCGACAGAAGAAGTTGATCATACTTATGTGAGTGTTGGGAGTGGTGAATTGGCATAAATGGTAGTTTGCCAAAGTCACAATCCAAAAATCGTTCGAATCACTTTTGTCCTGAAATTCTTCTTGTGAGAATTTATCTAGTTGAAGGTGGTTTGATTCTACTATATTACATAACTGATAAAACTGGAAATAGCCATGATGCTCCTTGAATGACTATGGGAGTTATTAACATAGTCTGCCCTAAACACGAGGCTAATGAACATAGTAGTCCATGCTTTGTCACCAAAAAAAAAGTTGACCCATCTTTTGTTAGTAGTAACACACATCCGACAATAACAATCAGATCCATTGAAAATTCTTAGCTGCACAACTCTTTACAATTTTCTTACGCAATTCAAACTGTTAGTTTGGATAGGTAGTTACCTGGAAATCGGGTTGTTGAGAGGAGGTTGTCCATAGAGAGAGTAGGGTAGATCATGACAGAGTGCTTGATATCAGTTTTATAAAGTAAAGTTTTTTTTGCAGCTTCAGTGTTTATTATGAATTCAGGTGAACAAAAGCTAACAAAACAATTATTTGTATTTCTTGTATTTTGTAGAAGAGGCTGCTCAAGACTCAGATAATGAAGCTCCGCCAAAAAATCAATTCCTTAAAGCCCCTACAAAGCAAATTGTTGATGATAAGGATGAATCTTCTGATTCTGATGATTGGCCATCGGACTCTGATTCTAGTTCAGACTCATCTGATGATGATGAAAGCAAATATACAAGTATGAGAGAACGCTTTTTGAAAAAAACTGGGCCTGCTCATGAAGATGATGAAGATAGAGAGAGAAGGAAAGAAGAAAAGAGGAAAGATCGTAAGGATAAAGATAGAAGGAAGATGAAAAGAGATGAAGAAGAAGATGGAGAGGGAGAATGGGAAACCGTTCAGCGTGGAGTTGCCATCCCAAGTGTAAGTTGGTGATTTTTGAATTACCTTCACAGTGTTGATAATATTATTACAGGAGAAGCCTAAAATGTTTGCCAAGGATGCTGAAATAGATTTGAACCTTGTTATTAAAAAATTGAATGAAATTATGGCAGCAAGAGGAAAGAAAAGAACAGACAGACGTGAACAAATTGAGTTGCTTCATGAACTCCAAAATGTCTCCGATCAGCACCAACTGGGACCTGCGATTTTTGTGAAGATCAAACTTGCCATTATCTCGGCTATCTTTGATTACAATCCCAAAGTTTCTGATGCAATGAAACCTGAATATTGGCTGAAATTGTTGGAAAGAATGAACGAAATGTTGATTCTCCTCTTGGCTAATCCTAATTTGGTTGTGTCTGATTCCATCACTGAGGAAATGGAGAACTTGGAACAGCCTCCCTATCATATAAGAGGTTGTATCCTGACCTCTGTGGAAAGACTTGATGATGAATTTACTAAGCTTTTGAAAGAATGTGATCCCCACAGTAATGAATATGTTGAGAGGCTCAAGGATGAAGTCAAAGTATCTAGCATTATTGACAAAACAATGAAATATCTGGAAATAACTAATGTTCCAACAGAACTCTGCAGAATTTACTTGCGTAAAATTGATCATTTATATTACAAGCTTGATAAAAAAGTTTTGAAGCAAAAAGCAGGTGACTTATCAGTTTCAAAAGATGAAATGACTTCTGTTCAAGAAATGGAAAAGCTTTGCAAATATGTTTATGCAAAAGATGCCACTGACCGTCTTCGAACAAGAGCCATACTTTCGCACATTTATCATCATGCTTTGCACGATAATTGGTTCCAAGCCAGAGATTTGGTTTTGATGTCTCACTTACAAGAAACCATTCAACATTCTGATCCTAGCACACAAATTTTATATAATCGGACTATGGCTCACCTTGGACTTTGTGCATTCCGCCATGCCAATATAAAGGATGCTCACAATTGTTTGGTTGATTTGATGATGACTGGTAAACCTAAAGAACTCTTGGCACAAGGTAAGACAAATTTCAAGAAAAATTCTCTTACCGTAAATTATTTAATGCTTTGGATATTCATTATCATGACAATTTTTTTATACAAACTTCAAAATTGGCGAAAAAATTCACCACTACCCGCCACTGCATTCAGAACAATTTATTTTTTACTTCTGTAATTGATTTTAAAATTTCAGTTTTTTTTTCTCAATAAATTCACAGTAGAAATTTTGGTGAAAAAGACAGTGTGTGATAGAGCCATTGCCCAAATTCAAGTTTTCCAATGCACTTAAATTTCAAAATAATCAAAGATAGATCTTTTTAAGTGACTTGGCGTGAACTTGGCTTGAAATCTTTCAATTTTTAGTTTCATTTTATTTCATTTCAATTGTGTAATTTTATTTTTTTGCTTATTTTTTATTCCTTTGTATATTTTTAATGGTCTAATATATGTTGATTGTTTTCCCACTTCACCGTGCGGTTCACAGTATCCTGTGAACAATAAAACTGCTGTGACAGCTTTTTTTGTTTGCACAAACACTGCAGTACAAACCTTGATGGGTTCTGGGAGCAGGGCCAAAGCGAAAGTAGTGATTTACTTTAGATTTAAATTGCTGTAGATTATATTTAGCTGAAAAAATCATCTCATGAAAGTTACTCCATAAGTTATACGAAATGGAAGAGGTTGAGAAGGTATAATAAGTTGTACCGTGAAGTGAGGAGCAGCTGTCTTTTACCAGACATGTACTGCTGTGGGTGGAATCAAGCGTACTAAGAAAGAGTAAAGTAACTATAGAAAGGAGACAAGTCCCTTACCCGCCTTCAATGCTCCAGGGTATAAAGATTGCTTGCTAATCAGGAGGATAGTTTTTTTTTTAATAGAATCTAGCAGTTTGTTGTAAATTTCAAACCACCCATATATTTAGAAAATGCTTTTCAAGATGAAATAAAAAATAAATTGTAGGGTATTCCATTTGAAAAAAAAATTAAAACAATTTCCAGTTGTGATCACCCAGTATGAGGACAAAATATTTTGGTTGGATTATTAGATAATGAAACACTTTTATTTTTCAATATCTTTATAACAATCCCCTTTGTATATATCCATACAATTTCATATTTTTTCAAAATACTTTTCGGAAAGAATTTGAATAAGGAAAGCATCATATAGTCAAACTCCAATTATCAGGCCTTTTTATACTGGGTATGCACATGATAAAGCGTTACATTAGAAAATATTCAGGATACACAGTAGAAATGTGGCTGAGAGTTTTTTTTAATGAAATTATATGTTTTCTCAACTGATATGTACTTTTTGGTATGTTCTTGGACCCTCTCAGCAATTCGATATTTATCTCTTCAATCGTCGCAAAACGCCGTCCTCTCATGTGTCTCTTCAACCTTGGGAACAGGAAAAAGTCGCAGGGGGGCAAATTTGATGAATACGGTGACTGAGACATGATAACGGTGTTGTTTCTGGCAAAAATATATTACGAACAAGCAATGACGAGTGAGCAGAGGTACATATTCATGATGCAAAAGCCATGAATGGTTTTTCCACAATACCGGACGTTTTCTTCGTATTGCTTCTCGCAAGTGGTGCATAACTTCAAGATAATACTCCTTATTGACCGTATGACCATGTGGCAAGAACTCCTGATGAACTGTGCCATGGTAATCGAAGAAACCAGTAAGCAAAACCTTGATGTGTAATCGAACTTGCCGTGCTTTTTTGGTCTTGAGTCTCCTGGGCTCTTTCATTGGGATGATTGGATTTTGGTTTAATGTTATAACCATGTACCCATGATTCATCACCATTAATAACCCTGAATATTACTGGAGTTTTTTCCCAACACCAAACCGTTATTTTAACATCTCGACACGTGTTTCAATCACCAAGTGGTCATTTTCTAGAGGAAGATCAATTTGATCATCTTCAAGAGGAAGATCAATTTGATCACTTGGTGATCGAAACACGTGTCGAAGTGTTAAAATAACGGTTTGGTGTTGGGAAAAATCTCCAGTAATATTCATTACTACACCAAAGGTTCCAAACAGTGCATCACAAATTAATGACCCTTTTAAGCAAATCTGGATCACCAATAATCATCATTCAACAATTCCTGAGCGATGCTCATGTGACGTTTTTTTTGGGTCGAAATTCAGCAATTTTTGAACGAACTTTGCTGCCGCACACTTCATGCAAGGCATGAGCCAACCGATATGCCGACATCCTCAGCAACTTCTCTAATGGTGATTTAATGAATCTCTGTAACAATTTTCTTCACTTTCTCAACATTTTCATCGGTTGCTGATGTGCTGGGGCGTCCAGGGCGAGCGTCTTCATTCACATCTTCTCGACCTTCTGTGAAAAGCTTGTACCGCTTGTAAACATGTTTCTGATTCAGAGTACAGTCTCAGTATGCAACTGTCAACATTTATAGCGTTTTTGAGCACTTGATTCAATTTTTAACACAAAATTTGATGCAGATGCTTTCATCCATTTTTTTTTATAGCAGAAAATCGCCCAACACCAAAACACTTCTAACTTTTATGCCTTTTACCAATAAACTAAACATTCCAAACAGCTGAAACTGTGAACATATGTTTGAGACGATTGTACCAACATAAAAAATATGAAATCGGTAATCAAATGTACGTAGCCCGCGAAATTTGAACATTCACCTTGTTTTCTTAACCGTCCACATATATTTTGTAAACGAATAAACTATAATGAAAAATGAAACTTCCTGTTTTTTACCACTTGTATTTGTAACTAACATTACTGCAGTTTCATCCTATAAGGACATTTTCAAACTTATANAGATTTAGATTGAAATCGCCCACTATAATAATATCACAATTACAACTTACTATCTCTTCTAGTTTTTCTTTTATTCATGCAACAGCATCGTTATTAAAATTGGCCTAAAATGTTGGACATGTACGTTCATACTATATAATAGTCAAAATCAAAAATTATCTGTTATTTATGTAACAGTATCACTATTAAAATCTTCCTGAAATGTTATACATGTACAGGGTCATAAGTTACAAATATAAGTAGTAGAAAAACATAGGAAGTTTTATTTCTCATTTTTCATGAGGATCTCCTACCACGTAGTAACGGCTACATTCATCTTATTGAAATAAACTATTCTATTCTATATCATTATATATTGCAGAAAATCAGAATTCATATTGTGTCATTTGAAATAAATACTTCATCAGGCAGTGCATAAATGCTTGTCATCACAACCTCCAGATGACCAACGCAAAACATAATGTATCATCTCATTCATTAAAAATTTCCACATAGAAAAGATGGCACTTTTATCAAAGCAACTATCTCAACTATATTGTGAAAAATCCCTTGCTATTTGTTTATATTATATTCATATCATTATTCCAGGTCTGTTACCTCAGAGGCAACATGAACGAAGCAAGGAACAAGAAAAAATCGAAAAACAACGCCAGATGCCATTCCATATGCACATCAACCTTGAGTTACTGGAATGTGTTTACCTCGTGTCTGCTATGCTTATTGAAATTCCATATATGGCTGCTCACGAATTCGATGCAAGACGTAGAATGATTTCTAAGACATTTTATCAACAACTGCGTAGTTCCGAGAGACAGAGTCTTGTGGGACCTCCAGAGAGCATGCGAGAACATGTAGTGGCTGCTGCAAAAGCCATGAGAAATGGTAATTGGTCAGCTTGTAATACGTACATTATTAATGAAAAAATGAGCGCCAAGGTTTGGGATCTTTTTTATCAAGCAGACCAAGTGAGGGCTATGTTAACAAAGTTGATAAAGGAAGAATCTTTGAGAACCTATCTGTTCACTTATTCTCATGTATACGATTCTATATCTATGATGACGCTAGCTGAAATGTTTGAGTTGGAAAAACCAGTTGTACATTCCACCATTTCCAAAATGATAATAAATGAAGAACTGATGGTAAGTTTAGTATATCAAATAAAATGTATCATGCTTGTGAGTTGTTCATCATTTTACAATAATAAGCTCAAGATATTGCATATTTAGGTATTCGAGGTGTTCTATTGAGGTATGGATTCTGTTACATTTTTTTTGAGCTTCTATAAAGAATTTGTTGAAAATATCAGCAATTCTTTGGGGATTAGTGATTTCTTCAGAGTTATACATATATAGTTTTCATAATAATTTTTCATTTCTGAGTATGTTTATTTCACATCTGCTTATACTATCATTTCGACTAATCAACTATTTTACTGACGTGCTGATTTTCACATTTTTTTGACTTAGTGTGAATGTTATTTTTTCATTTCATTGAGTTTCTTCGCATTCGGTGTGTCTTGTTTTTCTTAAAATATATGAATCTTTCATTTTTTACTAGTTTTTCAAATCATCTGTCACCCAGCTTTTTTAACTATGCTTTTTACTAAAAAAAGGAAAATACTCTTCGAATGTGAGTTTAAAGAAGAAGTTGAAAATCTCCTCAGTTTGATTTGTTGAAATCCCTAAAATTCTTTGGATGAAAAAATGACTAGTTCCAGTTATATCTCATTCCAAGTATTGACTTTCAACATTTGTGTTTGATTATTTCATTGAACAGTCTGATGTATGATGCTTTGACGGTTTTATCTATTTCATTTGAGCTAATTCTTTCCATTAACAATTTGTTATCGGATAGAAACGCATCATTTAGGAATATCTATCTCAACGTTCCCAAAAACTTTATCAATTCTCAGTTAGAGCAGTTACTCTAGTGTTCTCAAAAATTCATCAAGTCCTAGTTGAGGCATAATATTTTTGGTTTCGTTTGCTTCAGTAGAAGGATTATTGAAATTTATATTAAAATCTATGGTAACCCAGATACTTGAGTCTATCAAGTATCTGAAAATAATTTTTTTTTAAATTTCCAGTGGGAGGTTTGTTTATATTAATATTTTTTTTCCCATTTGGCGTCCATTTCAGACAGCATATCTCAAAGTTTTATTTGGAGCTGTATTCTACTATGTCTAACTTGATATCTTGCCTAGTCTAGATGGCACAGCCACCCTCATGGTGCATTGACCTACCATATTAGCTTACCACATTGTATTCATTGATTGAGATATAACACATTTCATCATCGTTAGTCCATATTTNATCTCAACGTTCCCAAAAACTTTATCAATTCTCAGTTAGAGCAGTTACTCTAGTGTTCTCAAAAATTCATCAAGTCCTAGTTGAGGCATAATATTTTTGGTTTCGTTTGCTTCAGTAGAAGGATTATTGAAATTTATATTAAAATCTATGGTAACCCAGATACTTGAGTCTATCAAGTATCTGAAAATAATTTTTTTTTAAATTTCCAGTGGGAGGTTTGTTTATATTAATATTTTTTTTCCCATTTGGCGTCCATTTCAGACAGCATATCTCAAAGTTTTATTTGGAGCTGTATTCTACTATGTCTAACTTGATATCTTGCCTAGTCTAGATGGCACAGCCACCCTCATGGTGCATTGACCTACCATATTAGCTTACCACATTGTATTCATTGATTGAGATATAACACATTTCATCATCGTTAGTCCATATTTGTAAAAGTGCAATAAATTAAAAAAAAAATTATTCAAGCTCTAGAAGATCGTTCTTATTTTGTATACTACAAACATTCATAAAAATATAAAGTCAGATAGTTTTTCTGGAAAATATTCATTTTTGTTATTGGGAAGAAAGGAAGAGAACCATATGAGTTCGAAATAAACTCTTTACAAAGATGTGTAGATCATGCATAAAAATATCTGAAAGAAAAATCCTCATTGAAACAAATACTTTCACATAAACATTGAATTAAACAAAAATTGAAACAACTACTTACATATGAATATTGAAATACACGAGAACTCTTTTTTCCATTCAGTTGCTTAGAGAGGAGTTTCTTCTTCCAGCTTATATCTGGAAAAACTTCTATGCATGATCTAAGTATTTTTGTAAAGAGTTTGGTTTCTTCCGGAATTTCGGAAATTTTTTTGTATAAAGATGGAAAAGTTGAAAGCCAAAAAGCCTTTTTTCCAAAAATGTATCTCTCCTAACGAATATTCCCTTTCAAACGATTTTTTTTATGGTCTTATTTTCTTCCGTTTAATTCCTGTTTATGGTTCAAAATTTAAAAAAAGTTTCTGAGAATTTTTGTCCGTTCATAACTTGTTTTTATTTTGATAATTCACATTTATAAAAAAAGAATCTGACTCTCATCATTGACTTTGTCAATTAGAATTCCTCTGACAGTAAAAAACTTTTGATTGATTGATGTAAATTCACGGAACACTTTTACAAATGAAAAAGGTGGTTGAGGTAGGAATAGCATTTTTTCTTTATTTTTTCAGGCATCATTGGATGATCCAACCCAAACTGTTGTCATGCACCGAAGTGAACCATCCCGTTTGCAGTCTTTGGCATTACAGTTGGCTGACAAAATCAATAATTTTGTTGATTCCAATGAAAGAATTTTGGAAACGAAACAAGGAAACTTCTTCTTGAGAGGAGCTAACCAGGTAAGATTAACAGTATAAGTATTAATAAAATGTTGAATAGATTAGTGAAAAACTTTTTATCTAGTAGCATAATTAAAAATCGCCAAATTAGAGAAGTAGCTGATGTTCCACTCCGTTTGCATGCAGTTATCCGAAAAAAATTGACCGGATTTGTGGAAGAAAATTCGTGGCTTTTGCATCACAATAATACACCTGCTCTCACTTCATTCGTGAACTTTTGTCCAAAAACAATACTGCAACAATAATAAACAGAAATTTCTGTTATTTTCTGATCATAACTCGAAGTATTTTGAATAACTCAAAATTTGTTTCTGCAGATATACCAAATTATTTGGCTGTGAGTGTATTTTAGATCATTATATAGATCATAAAAGAGACAACTCGACTCTCTCTATAGGCTTTTGGTTAGCATAGCTGGCTATTACAAGGGGATTTCAGTTCTGTGTGATTTCTTTTCATTGGAAATCGGTGAAGATTGCATAAGAACATTGAAATTATGTTGAACAATAATTTATCGAAACTGAAAATAAACAAAAGCTTTTGAAATAGTGAAATTACCAATTTTTTGTTGTTGAAAGACAAAATTATCCAAAAGATTTTTCATGTAATGAAAACACTTTTCTCTTAACATTCGTTTTGCTAAAAGTGTTATCCACCATTTTTCATGATTCTACTAAATTCATTTCTACTTTTTAGGGCAACTTCAGAGGAGAAAGGCAAAATTACAGAGGTGGAAATAATCAGAATTGGGATAGACAGAGGCGTGACAGAGATAGAAACCGTGATTGAATAATATTTGCTATTTGTTGATAGAAGTTATTTATCAAGTTTCAGAAGTCACCAATAAATGTTTCATTTGATTGATTTTTTTTTTAAATAATTCTGGACTAGATATGTTTGAAATTATCATCTGCAGAACCTTATCAAATACTGGCTGGGATACCCAGCTTCATTCATTGAACTTTAAATTATAAGAGGTCGAAGTTGAAGAACAATTTTCGAGCTCAGACAACAGCGCAAAAAGTACCTAGATGTAGGTACAAATCTACTTTCTTTTGGTGCCTCTTATGGAGCTTTTGGTTTGACAATGTTGTAATTTACCTAGAATCTAGGGGAAAATTACTTGAAATATTGAAAAATGGCCCAAAACTTTCATAGCATTTTTACTACCCTGCTCTTTACATAAACTAGTCTAGAAATCTTACATTGATGAAAAAAAACATCTGATATTGATACAAGAATTGTGTACAATAAAACAATGTTCAATATTAAAGAAAAATTTAATATGAAATCTATTGTGTAGGGTAACAGTAAATAACAAATAAAACCCCTAAAATAATATTTGATTATTTAGAACGATTGAACATTCAGTTTATGGGATAAATCTGAAACAAGATATTTGTTGTCAGAATACATTTATTCCCAATGAAACTCTTAGCAAATTGACAAAACTTCAGTATTGTAATGCTCACAATATATATGAAAACAATAATCAGAACATATTTGAATATGATTTGAGAGGATCACAAGGAATCATTATAAATTCAAATGATATTTGAATTGATTTTTTCATTCAAAATTTGTGTTTTGACTAGTACCTAGACAACCCAATACCAAAGTTTTTGAAGCCAATGCATTTGATTCAGTCACTTCACTCTGGAAATTTATTATCTATCTAAGAATAAGCATTTTACCATACATTTTTTTAAAAACGGCTTGAATATAAATTTTGGTGTTCAGAAACAAAACGTTAAATAATAAGTCTAGTTTTCCACAAATAATTTTTTTATATTTGATTTCTCACTATTGTAAAACTAAACCAACATTGCAAGGCATCATACTGGGGCATTTCCAATTATACAAATAGTACTGTAATTTACCATCACCTATGCCAAACTTGAGTTGTAACAAAAATTCAGAGTTATCCATTAAATCCAGAGCATTGAAAACATCGTAGTTTAATTGTCTAGCAGATATCAGAGCATCTGTCATTAAGGGAACCCAAGGAGTTCCCTTGGACACATTATAGAAGGAGTATGCTGCTTTGAGGTTTTTGTGCACTGGATGGTGCATCACTGACGATGGAAGAGAGTAGTAACTAACAAAATCAGTTATTTCACCATCTGCTTCGACGACAAAGCTATCCACTATGTTGGGCCTTGGCATGAACCAATGTATGAAGTCCTCTTCATTGAAAAGTGGTGCTAAATCAAAACGAGCTAAATACTGAAAGGAAATACATGCAATTAGATGAATTTTTGAAAAACTAAACTTCTATTGAAAGGGTAGGGTTAAAATGAATTTACACATGTTAGAAAATAAATTTCTATTTTCAATGAAATAGATGGTTCCAAGAAACGACTTGTGTTTATAAAAGGAACATATACAATTAAATTTAACAAACACATACCAGTTAACACATTGAAATATTTAAAACAGTAAAGTGCGTTTCAATGCGAATAGAAAAAAAATGTACTTCTAATATTTACCCTAAATTACAAATTGGCAAAAAACCTCAAATATATATCAGAACCTTTCATCAAACTTCTAAAAAGAATATGTCTCAATGTTACACATGAGCTGGAAAGTTTTTTCTTAATTTGTAAATTTTTTTAATCTTTCATTTAACTTGAGTTCTTGAGTTCACATTGTTTCACGTTCATATATCTAAATGACTAAATACTCAATTAAACTTTGAGATTTACAGAGCCGCAACACATGTTTCTCTATATAATGGCTTCTTCTGGCTTGTTTAGTACTATTAGTATTATTAATATGGTATTAAACACATATGAGGAAGCTATTGCATATTGAAATAAGTGTTGCGGTTTTGTAAACTGGTTTGGCTAACATCAATTTGTAGTGTTGACTATGAAATTTGTGCTAATTAGTTACAACCACCCATTCACAACGCGTTATGTAAGAATAAGCTGTTACAGTAACTTTATTTACAAAATCTTTACAGAAATCAGTATGTACAGTAATGTACAAATAGTGCGAAAACATTTTGTTACAATCGCAATACGTTTGCGAAAACTTCATGACTTCAAAGCAAAAACAAAAGATTTTTGAGTTTTTGGAAAATGCGCAAATTGCTTATTATATATATGAAATAAAACTGAAATCGTGGATTTGGCAGTTAGTATTTATTATTTGTGTTGAACAATTGAGGCAGTGGACAAATAGCAAAAGACAATCCTTTTGGTAATTTTATTTATGTATTTGTAATTCAATGATTGATTTTACAATAAAATTTCCAAATAGACGTTTTGTTCCCTTTTGTAAAAAAAACTGTTTTGATAGAGTGAGGTAATTCTGTATTCAAAACACTCAAAATTAGTGATAACACACTATGAAAACATTCCAAATTGTTGTATTTCTCAGTCAGTGTTATTGAAGTATAGAAGGCCTATTTCAGTAAAGTATTAAATTTATACCTAATTTAGGGTTTAGTAAATACTTCAAGATGATAAAACATACTTTCAATAATTTTTTGTATTAAATGTCAACAAATAACAGTGAAACATCAACTCAACTTGTCGGTCTAGGCCATTTGCAACTGGCTTAGTCATTCTAATAGAAACTCTAGAATATTCATTGAAGTAAGATAACTGAAAAAGTATAAATACCTCTACAAGCAGCTTATGAGCTTTTGGTACATCTGCTGCGGTCATTTTCCTAAACCCAGGAGTTTTAGGTTTATCTGGCAATTTGTACAGTTTTAATGTCCTTTGCATGGTCATATTTCTTGAGAGATGTGAAAATTTCACTTCTATCAACTTTTTGGGATTCAGGGACCTATGCCAGTACGTACAAGTACTAACCGGCTTGGGCAGCACAATACCTGCAGTATAAACAGCTTGAAATAAACCAGTCAGGTGTACCCTTCGTGTTATTTCTCTTATCAATACGGGAGCTACTCGCTTAGAACGAAGTTTCTTGTGTACACATAAAAAATTGATTTCAACCATTTGCTGGGTCCTGGAAGGTTACGTGTCACTAATGATAAGTATTCATTTTATCTACTTACTTCTGATAAATATTGAGTGTTGCTGGAATAGCAGATATGAATCCTACCAATCTTCCACTTTTAACTACTCTCACACCGCAATGCCAATCCTTTTTCCATCCAGGAGGTTGAAGAGCCCTGAAAATAATTGTTCCTCACAAAAGCTCTAAGAAAAAAGTTTTTCTAATTCATAGAAAATTGAAAGACAATTTGAAAGTTGACTCAACATATTTTGTTTCACAATAAATTATTGAACACTGTGGATATTTTAGCTTTATAAAAACAATGAAATTGTTATGATGAACAATAATTATGCATTGACATATTTCAATAGTTTTCTTAATTTTTGTGTGGAAGTAAAAAAAAGTATATCTTTATAATTTCTGAGACACGGTTTCATTGTGAGTTATGAAATCTAATAGGTGACCTCATTTTTAGAATATCTACAGAAAGAGTATAGGTGCAACTCTGCATTTTCATAAGTAAAATTCTACAAGGAGAATTGCATGAAGTCATTATTTCGATTATTATAAATGATTCATAAACTCCGAGTTTATGCACTTTTGGGCATGTCATTTATATTGTGCCAAAAACATATTACTTCCATTGCAAATATTTGAAAATAGTATTAACTTTGCCTAATGATATTTTTCTCTAATTTCATCAATAGTGAATAAGTATTACGGAATACATAGATATACTTTAGAAGGATAGTTTTGTTAAATGACAATCTTCTCACAAGGCATACCTTAAGAAATAACTTGCACGTGCCGTGAGATGAGTGATCATTGGTCCCAAGAACCATGTGCCCTGAATGAAAACTTTTTGTATCCTGCCAGCTAAGATTTCTGCTACATTGCAGTTAACTGCTTAAACTTCATTTTTAAGAGTAGAGTCAGTGTCTTTCATTTACCAATAATCACTCCCAATGATAATTACTATCGTCATTATTGTTAGTATTGTATTTTGTACAACAAAATATTTCAATTTTTATTGGTAAAACTGTTCTTCCTTACAAACAACTGATATAATTTCTTTTTGTATATATACACACATTTACATGCATAAAAAGTAAACTTAATTAATATTTCACAAGGTCATATAAGCTCGAAATGCGTAAAATACCTTCTCATACTTCACAGAAGCTTTGAAATGAGGCATAAGAATTACTCTACAATACAATAGAAGATATACGTAGAAGATATACGTCATATGAGTAATGAGAACTTTGAATTGACATAACATAACTAAACATCTCTACATCATGGCAATGGTGCTCATTTATAAGATATCAAAAAATTCAGTTTCTAAGTTTCACCTTATTTATTAATTTCAATAATGACGTCCAATTGTCCACACTTACCCCACAAGACATGCTAATAATTTCCATATCGTTCAAACGCGTACCACAAACTCAATGAAAATATTATTTTTCAAGAGATTGAATGATTTCAATAACCTTTCAACTAAAGTGAAAACTTGACTGTCGTTCAACATTTTCAAAAATCATCTAAAAAAATTATCATCAACCAAAACCTCATGAAATATTGAATCATAGGAAGCTTTTGTTATTGTATTTGTCTCTGAAGTTTCAATTATTGATTGTAAATAAAATTATCATTACTTATTTATGACAATATCAAAAATGTGTGTATTCTATGAGTATCCTACTTCCAAATAAAGGATTTATGTACATTCAAATGATGATTCACCCAAACCAGAGATGAAAAAGCCCTGCATGGCTAAATCTAATGTATAATCAGGTATAGCCGACTTACAGATGCCCTCATATGAAAAGGCTGCTGCAGTCATTATGGTGGGAATCTGACACCTTGAACATCCAACAACCTTAATATCAGGCAATCAACTTGAGTCTTGTCAGTATGCCATTATTGCTGCAGTGGAGGATAATTCGGAAAATGATCTACAGATACCATTCCAGAGCTGCACATTCGAACCTGGATCACATGAGACTCGGATCAGGTCCTCACTGGATTGAGGAAATATACCATGGGTCTGTGAACCTTATAATGGATTATTCGTCACAAGGAAATTGAAGGCCCTGGTAGCAAAGCATATACTTTGTGCCTGACCAGGTTTTCAGCATTTGACAGTGTCACTCTTGCCAGCTCACCGCTAAGATCACTCACCAAATAAGAAATTGAGTCCATTTTTGAAAATTTTGAATAGGTATGAGCCACAATAAACCTTCACGGGCTGCAGAGGAGGAATGGAATATACTAACTTTAGACGCACCTATGTGCCTACCCTCTATGATATCTGACAGGCTCAAGAAAGTTGGTCTCCTAAATTTGTAGAATAGGAGGAAACCGAATTCAGCCTACCTCTATCATAAGATTCTTCTATAAAAAATATCTTCCGATGTTTTCAAAATGAAAAGAATATTCCATTTAACATCACCGGGATTCGTCCTATGCCTTTCTCTGTGAAGCAGAGGGTTGACTAGGTGTTTTCAGACTCTGGTTTCAATTTTTCCATTTGTTAGTACCAAAAATCTACAACTCGTACATGAATATTGCTATTGAAAATTAGTGATATCACAACTTACAACTTATTACTCTCATGACTTGCAACTGTGTATGAAAACACCTCTAAAACCTTTAATTCTCTAAACTGAATATTTAAATGCTATCTATCAGTCATCAATAAATTGAAAATTAATAAGTTATTTACGTATCAAGGGCGTAAAATAGGCTTTAATGGACGCCTATGTCCATAAAAGCAAATTGTGTCCAAAATACATATAACATTTTAGGCACGACAGATATATTTAATGTCATTTAGTTTATATATAGAACATGATAGAAATACATCAAGGCTGCCGTGAGGTTGTATATCCACATCATATCAGAAACAGAAGAATTCAAGAAGTGATGGAATGAATGTTACCATGGTCAGTCAATTTTTCGAAATAAGATTATATAGGTTAGTAGTCTTATTTGCTGTCAATTTCTGTGATCACAGATAATGAACCTTCTTCCTGAAGTACGAAAAATCACTCACTAGCAGCGCTAGTAGTTCGGTAGGGACAAACACTGCCTAATCCTCATATGATACCTCATTTTAATTGTACTTTACCATATATGGTGAAATAAATTTAATTAAATATAATAAATGAATATAATTTAATAAACTATAGAGGTTATATCTCATTCTAATCAATGGTAATTAACTATGAAAAATTTACTATTCATTTTATGTTTAGAGCATACATATGAATATTTATTTATTTTTTGCACTGTAAAATCCACTCTCCTCGAAGCATGTATCCATTTCTTACATCTAACCTCATCAATATGAGGTTTTATAAATGGTATAAAAAACACGTTTTCTTCCGGATATCGATTATCCGACGTACAATTTGCAAAACAGCAATGCTTTGTTGGCATTATACTAGCACAAAATAATTTTTTATATTAGATTTATATTTTTGAATAATAAATTAATAATACGTAAATAACACTGTTTTACATATGAATAGTTTATGTTTGTCCCTACTACTAGTGCTGCCTCTCACAACGTGTTCGCTATACCATTCTCAGGAAAAAGGCTCATTTATTAGTGATTTTGAAATGGGTTCAAGTGACGAAGAATTGTACTCCACCAGAAATAAATAAAGAAGCCGAGGATGCGATACTGAATTTATTGCCAAGTAAGTCCAAGAAAATATACGACAAAGTGTATGAAAAATTCATGAGGTGATGCAAAGGGAATAATGTATAAAATGAGAACTACGCAGAAAGTGTACTTCTTATATATATAAACCTGTGTTTTGAGTATCTTAAATAAATTTCATAATATTGCCTTATCTACTACCCTTAAATTAATTTTACAATGTGTCCTTATGTAATAGTCAGGTAACTCTAATAATTGAAAATTATTTCAACAAGCTATAAAGTATACTACAAATTACCTTATCTACTAGTCTTGAATTACTTTTACAATGTGTCCTTATGCAAGTTAGGTAAATCTAATAATTAAAATATAAGCTATATAAATTGTGAAATAGCTTATAATATTTTAATCATTAGATTTACCGAACTATTGCATAAGGACACATTGTAAAAGTAATTTAAGACTAGTAGATGAGGCAATTTGTGAAATTAACTTTATATAGCTTATAATATTTCAATTATTAGATTCACCTTACTATTACATAAGGACACATTGTAAAATTTATGTAAGACTAGTAGTTAAGGCAACATGTGAAATTAATTTTATATAGCTTATATTTCAATTGTTGGATTCACCTTACTATTACATAAGGACGCATTGTAAAATTTATGTAAGACTAGTAGATAAGCCAACATGTTAAAATAATTTCATGTAGCTTATTAAATTTACCTGACTATTACAAAAGGACACATTGTAAAATTAATTTAAGACACTCAAGACACAGGTAGCTGAAACAGGTATCTATAGTATGAATAGGGATAGCTTTGTGAGTATGATTAATTTGATCTTCCTTTTGAAGATGATCACTTGGTGATCGAAACACATGTCCAGGTGTCAATATAACGGTTTGGTGTTGGAAAAAAACTCCAGTAATATCAATTACTACACCAAAAGTTCCAAGCAGTGCATCACAAGGCAAGTTCTTATATTTAATGAAAAATTTCTAATGGATTGCTTCAATCAATAGAAACATTCTAAAATTTCAAATGGACTAACAAATGAAACCAAAGGATCAATTAATGGATTCGGTGAATTTAAGAACTCCTCTTTATTTAGGCTATGTCAAGTCTTTTAGATCTCTCAAATAGCCCATACATGTTTGGCAGGTTAAATGGAAGAGCAGTTTTGTAGAGTTTCTTCTGGGAAAATAGAACCTATATTTGCCATATCAATTTCTCATAACTGGTTTTGTTAAACTTGTTAGATTTTGTTAAATTTGTAGTTTTACTAATATAGATTTTAATATCATTAAAATACTCACCATTTCAAAAATTCAGGTTGATAATCAAATCTGAACATACAATCATCATCTTCAACATAATTTTCATTCAATAATGTATATAATTCCTTCAGTACAAGTGGTTCATCTAGATTAAGGGTATCCCACATAAATCCCTCTGGTAAAGTATAGGGTTCCGATCTTATTTCTGATAACTCTTTATCTGGTTCTATGGCTTCATTTACTGTTATTTTTTCATCTATAAAGTATATTAGTGATACTATTACAAGAAACTTTTATGTTATTGAATAATTACCCATTTTAGGCACAGGTTGTGTATTCCAGAACTGATAGGATTTCTTCAAAGCATCTTCAGAAGTCTTTGCTGGTTTCTGAGACAAAGAGAACACTTCCATCGCAGCCTTCAATTCTTTAATAGATATGGTATTAAGAGGTGTTGTTAAATTGGACACCATTCCATTTTCGATCTGAACAACCTCGCCGTTGTTATCCTTAATCTCTTCCTCAACTTCATTTTGTCTTTTTTTATTTTTGTTGCGTTTCTTGGAACTTTAGGTTATGTTTGAAGATGAAAACATGAAAACAATATTTTTATTTTTTACATATATAAATTACTTGTACCACTGGGATAATTTTATAAAAACGATGATGTGTTATTGATTTTGTTTGTAATAAAGTTATTAAAAATAAACTTTTTCTTAAAATTAATTTGTTTCAAATAATGAAAGAATTAGGCAACAACGCTTACCTTTTAGTTTGAATTATACCATCAATATTTCCATCTACTTCATTGGCATTTTCTGATATATTTTTCTCATTTTTTTCCGACATTTTCAGTATGACCAATGTCCGATTCGATGTTTCTAGTAAATAGTAAACTACTTCCCAGTTTGAAGTAATCTGTATTGTCGATAACTGTTGTGTCGATTAAATAGGTCTCTGAAAAACCGACGTTCGATTACAAAGTCAGGTTTTTGAGCCATATTTTCTCGCCAGTATTTATGTTGAATCATTTCGATAATTCTTTTGTATGCAACGTCATCCAATCGCAAAAGGGTTTAATTGTGAAAATATGTATGATTCTCACCTAATGACTGATTAACCTTTGTAATGATTTATTCATAAATACAATTTAAAAAAAAATTGTTCGGTTATTGCCATTATTATGGAAACACATGTCATCGACGAGATCGTCTTATCGAGAAATTAAAATAGTCTAAAACTAATTGAAGTAATTTCACAGCAAAATATAATTTTCTAAAAATGATGGACGACTTTATATCCAGAATTTTTTGTCATTGATTTATTCATAAATACAATTTAAAAAAAATTGCTCGGTTATTGCCATTATTATGGAAACACATGTCATCGACGAGATCGTCTTATCGAGAAATTAAAATAGTCTCAAACTAATTGAAGTAATTTCACAGCAAAATATAATTTTCTAAAAATGATGGACGACTTTATATCCAGAATTTTTTGTCATTGATTTCTACATCCATAGATCGTGGATTCATTGTCGATACTGTGAATACAAATACGAAAATGATCATCAATCACAAATGTAAGTTCATTTTTTTCGGTAATTTACACTTCAAACTGTAATTTACCTATATAATTGTGTAGTATGTTCGAAATGTTCAACTGAACGTTGAACCACCAATACACATAACCAATGAAATAATTTTTGAGTCGAACAAAATAGTCATTTCTGAATTTTCATTTTATATAGTTGGTTATATAGTAAACCTTATTTATGAAACCAATGGTATTGTGAAAATTGGTTCTATCCCAATTCTGGGACGATCAGTGTTCACAGATATTTTCTGACCCATGCTTGAAATCGCAGTTTAAAAGTCAAGACCTTGTTTATTCTCAGCTCGTACAAGTTTTGATTTCAGAAAGTTGTCGTGCATAAGGAAACGACTAGTTAACCTATTACAATGGTATACACAAATTTATTAAGCAGTATTTATATTGAAAGTACTCTGAAATGTCTTGAATGATACTACAGTGGAGGCATCTTAGTTGACTGTTTTAATCGTCGTCCACCGGTAAATGCATTTTGACATTGCACAGCCTAATCTTTGCCACTTTCCTTGGACAGTGCCCACTGGAATCTCAAACGTTCTGTTAGCGGATCATGTTATTCACTCACCAACAATGAGAACTATATATGTTCATAAGAAAAAGAATGCATTTGTGAAATATGAACATGTTAGTACCAGTAGTTACTCTCCGAAAAAAGCGGCTCAGGTATTCTGAAAGTGGGAGTGCTCAACAGTTTTTTTTTCTACAAATCATACCAACATTTTCAAATGTTATCTTTTTAAAATGTGCTCTTCTGTCATATTCATGTACGACCACAGTATATACTATATAAGTATACTGTGGTACGACCCTGTATCTTGTCATTCTTCTTATTGATGCCAAACACCAAAAAGTACACGGTGTACTCTTTGCCTCACACATATAAAGCCGGCCGCAAGTTGAGACGTGGGTCGTGAGGTGACGGAGGGTGAGTCACGGTGAGCAAAAACTGCGGGTGAGAGGACCCCCGCAAGTTGAAACGCAGTTTGAGCCTACAGTTCTTAGGTGATGTGTCTCTTGCCTTTCGTTTTTCAAATAGATTTGGTTTATGAACTTTAAATTTATATCAGCTCCGAGTCTGAGTCAGAAAATGATGAGGAGGTCGAATCGATTATTTCTGCTAGCTTCATAAAAACAAAATCTCATTTGTCTTTCAAAGGAAGAAATACGCACGGAGAGTTCGCCTTGACAAAAGAGTAAAGTAGTGAAAATTTTAAAAACTATTTTCGGTTATCCCGTGACCAATTTTATGAAGTTCATGAGATAATTAGAAATGTTTGCTTGAAGGTGGTTCACAATGTTTCGTGGTGTATTTCATCAATTCGGACTTCCATTGTCTAATATAATATAAATTGATTTGAAATCCCTGAAAAAAAAATTGAAAAGAATAACCGAAAATAACAATTTTATTGTTCAATGGAAGTCCGAACTGATGAAATATAATTAGAAATTGTTCACAAATACATGACTTGTGTCGTACAAAACGCGACAATTTCTAACTGCCTCTATTAATTTTTCCTCCATTTCACTTGACACGCCGTGACTCACTAAAGAAATCTGTGGAAGGAGGACTGCGTAACGCAGGGTCACGGAACGTGAAAACTGCGTCACGTCACCCTGCGTCGAAACTTGCGGGGTTCCTATCATTTGTATGGTTCGCAGAAATTCAACGTGACTCACCCTGCGTCACCTCACGGACCTGTGTTTCAACTTGCGGCCGGCCTAATATGTTTTCTGTAGCATTATGCATCTAATGTCAGATTGTCAAATGTCACGTCACGTTCATTTTTATTGGAAATAAGCTGCCATTTTGAATATTGCACATGTCTTAATTGAGACTTTTATTGGAGTTTTACAATTTCATAGTAAGCACTGGACTAAAATGGCACAAAGTAAGTTAAATGATTTGGCCGGTAAATTCAGCAAAGGAGGTGGCCCACCCGGTCTTGGAATTGGACTTAAATTACTCGCTGTTGGAGGTGCTGCAGCCTATGGGATTTCACAATCTATGTATACAGGTAGATATTAATTCAAATGGAATGGATTTTAGGGAAGTATTGTAACAGGGTAAAATAAAAAAATATTTTTTAGTGGATGGTGGACACAGGGCAATAATGTTCAACAGAATAGGTGGAATACAAAAAGAAATTTATACGGAAGGTTTACATTTTCGGGTGCCTTGGTTCCAATATCCTATTATATATGATATTAGGTAAAGCTTCAAAATTATGTTGTATTCTAATTTGTATATTTAACTAAACTAAACATTGAATTAAGATTATTAAATTATTATTAGCCAAGACTTTTCAATTACTAGACACTTAAAAGCATAAAAATGATGAAATGCTTCAAGGCTAGGAAGCTTTTACATAGTTTTACAGTAATCATTGGCTTATTCATACTCCTAAATCTTACTTTAAGAAAGTTGTCACAGTGTAAGTCAATAGAAGTCTTCAAATACCACCATCTCTGAAGTAAAAAAATGAAGTATGAACTAGCTATAAATGTACTAGTCCTTATTTACCAATCAAAATGAAAAATTGGTGCTTATTATGTTTCATTGCTTATATTTCATATCTTCTATTTTTTTTTTAGAAAATATATATCCCTCTTACATCCCATAAATTTAAGAATTTTACTTTCAAGCAAATGCTGTCATGTATAATGATTCGTGATGAATTAAATTATGCATGCAAGTCATTTGCTTAGCAAAATTTTGAAAATTATGAATTTCCACATATTTCAATCCATTAAATTTGGTGCAGCCGGTGCACTGTGATGCACTGTTTGGAACCTTTGGTGTAGTAATGAATATTACTGGAATTTTTTCCCAACATCAAACCGTTATTTCAATACCTCGACACATATTTCGATCACCAAGTGATCATCTTCAAGAGGAAGATCAAACTAATCATACTCACAAAGCTATCCCTATTTATACTATAGATACCTGTTTCAGGTACCTGCGTCTTGAGTGTCTTAAATTAATTTAACAATTTGTCCTTATGTAATAGTCAGGTAAATCTAATTGAAATGTTATAAGCTATATAAAATTAATTTCACATGTTGGCTTATCTACCAGTCTTACATAAATTTTACAATGTGTCCATATGTAATAGTAAGGTAAATCTAATAATTGAAATATAAGCTATGTAAAATTAATTTTACAAATTGCTTATCTACTAGTCTTAAATTACTTTTACAATGTGTTCTTATGCAATAGTTAGGTAAATCTAATAATTAAAATATAAGCTATATAAATTGTGACATTGAAATTTATATAGCTTATAATATTTCAATTATTGGATTCACCTTTCTATTACATAAGGACACATTGTAAAATTTGTGTAAGACTAGTAGATAAGGCAACATGAGAAATCAATTTTATATAGCTTATAATATTTCAATTATTGGATTCACCTTTCTATTACATAAGGACACATTGTAAAATTTGTGTAAGACTAGTAGATAAGGCAACATGTGAAATTAATTTTATATAGCTTATAATATTTCAATTATTGGATTCACCTTTCTATTACATAAGGACACATTGTAAAATTAATTTAAGACAAGTAGATAAGGCAATTGTAAAATTAATTTAAGACACTCAAGACGCAGGTATCTATAGTATAAATAGGGATAGCTTTGTGAGTATGATTAGTTTGATCTTCTGGAGATGATAATTTGGTGGAAACATGTGTCGAGGTGTTAATATAACGGTTTGGTGTTGGGAAAAAAACTCCAGTAATAATATTTCAATTAGAACTTCGAATCAGAGCTATTGGGATAAATATAGTCAAAAAATTGAAACTGGTCCGTTTTTATATTTTCTTACTTATACATAGTAATTATAGAAAAACAGAGTTTAAAACTTGCAAAGTTTAAATGAGTGAATTCAATTCTCAGTTTAGTTGGATATGAGACTGATTTCAGACTTATTTGGTTTCTCAACGATATTTTTTTAAGATCACGGCCTAGAAAAATTTCGTCACCTACTGGTTCAAAAGACCTACAAATGGTAAATATCTCGCTTCGTGTATTATCTAGACCTAACGCTTCTCAGTTGCCCGGTATATATCGTCAACTAGGATTGGATTATGATGAAAAAGTTCTTCCTTCCATTTGTAATGAAGTCTTGAAGTCTGTTGTAGCAAAATTCAATGCTGCTCAGCTCATTACTCAAAGGCAACAGGTTCGAATTGTTGAGTTGGGTAGAATTCAGATTGAATCAAATATTATTTTCAGGTTTCTCTTCTGGTTAGAAGAGAGTTGGTAGAGAGAGCACAAGATTTCAATATTATTCTTGATGATGTTTCTATCACAGATTTATCTTTTGGTAAAGATTACACAGCTGCCGTGGAATCTAAACAGGTAGCTCAACAAGAAGCTCAAAGAGCTGCGTTCGTGGTAGAAAAAGCTAAACAAGAAAGGCAGCAGAAAATTGTTCAGGCTGAAGGAGAAGCTGAAGCTGCAAAAATGATATCCTTTATAAACTGCATTCATATTATTTCTTGTTATGACTTTTGTGTTCCTTAACTAATTCTTACTTAGGTGAGGCCATTGGAAGAAATCCTGGATATCTCAAGTTGAGAAAAATCAGAGCTGCTCAAAACATTTCTAGAACCGTAAGTTTGGTGTAAAAATAATTAATTTGTTTGTTATTTACTCTCGGGCATTTTCGTACTCTACAAATGAATGATAACCTTGAAAGTGTTATAACTGACTTTACTTGAATTTTTCAGATTGCCAACTCCCAAAATAGGGTTTATCTCAGTGGAAATAGTTTGATGCTGAACATTTCTGACAAAGAATTTGATGACCAGTCGAATAAACTGAAAAGTAAGAGTTAATCTTGAAGGGAATTTTTGTGGCAGAATGATTGGTTTTTTAACAACATATAAAAATTCCACTCAGATTTGGGAAAATAAAAGTGAAGTGAAATTAGTCTGTTATTTTGTAATATTTAGTTTTTACTGTTATTAGGTCTGAATTTTTCATTGAAAATACAATTGTTATTATTTGTAAAATTTCAACGGTTCAATAAATATTCAAAATCATGTAAATTCTTTATTTGTGATGTTCCTGTTTTTGGTGAATTCAACTTCAAATCCGACCAAATATTGAGATTGGTAGAAATTTTTATTTGAAAAACTTACCTTTTGAATAATAGATTGATTTTAACTTTTATTTTTTAGGTCAAAATGACTCCGAAACCTTGCAAATCAATAATGGAAATACAATTCTAACATTATCACAATTTGCTGCTGATAGAGTATCATCAAAAAACTTCTATTAGATTTTAATCTTTTCAAAAAATAACATACAAAGTAAATATATTTTTAATATTTTGACTGTTTTTATAAATATTAGATTGTAGAATAATAAGCAATAATTATTTTAGTCTTTATTTTATTTACATTAGGTTAAGAAATGCCACAAAATTTACATGGTTAACCAAAACAACTCATCCCAGTCTATTTTTCAATTGTTTCTTAGGCTTGGAATGTTTGTTATCAATTTTCATTACGTAATACTCTTTATCAATATTCATGAAACGTGCCATCCTTTTATTGTCGAAGGGTTCATCAGAGCCAGGGGGGTGCATACGCATCTAAAAATCAGAAAATTGAATGTAGACATTCCGCTATTAGTTTCTTCTATGTATTGAAAAAAAATCAACCTGACAGTGTCAGTGTAACATACAATGTTATATTCATTTGGGAAGAAAATAAAAAAATTATAAGCTCTTCTGGTATTAGTATGAATAATTTCATTTATTTATTCTAAAATGTCTCACAAAACATAAAATACATTCATATCAACTGAAGTAATAGGAATAGTACTTAATATTTCTGCAAGTATATCCAAGAAGCCATCCTAAGGAAGAGGGCAAGGATATCAGAAGATTTTGAAAGTTTCACCAAATTAAAATTCAGTTTTTAGAAATCAAACTGAAAGTGTTTGTAACTAGACAAAAATAATGCAAGCAAATTATTGCAGAAAAAATTTCTATTAATAATCTGTAATTAAAAATAGATATATGAACATCAGATTCTAATAACTGAATATATGTATTCAGGACACACCAAAATAGTAAGTATTTTTTTATAAATAATGTCAACAAGTGCCCAAGATAGAATTCTCAAGTCTCGTCCTAGTTTTGACAAGCTGTATGTGATCATTTTCAATTATTCCAGAGAATGAAAGAATTCACATTTGTTTAATGACATTTTCTTATTTGAAACAATAATACTTGAAAGATAATTTTTTCTTCATCCATATATTCACCCAACATTTGATATTACTTCTGAAAAAGAATAGTGAGTTTAAAACTAAACATATATTTTGATAATATAAAAACTCATATCGCTAGAAACATACTTATTCAGAAACTAGATAAAAAGTTTGGGGAAACATTTGTTTTCAATTCCTTATTTTAAATATGGAGCCTTTCACTCAAATGTTTGTCTGCTTTTTGAATAATTGACACTGCCGAAAACAATTTTGCCACAATGACAATTAGATTTGTTTCTAAAAGTGGAAGTTATTTGAAAAAATATGTGAACTTGAAACAATGCTGATGAGTGGAAAATAGGTATTTCATATTAATACTTTTTATTCATTGTGTAGAATTACTTTATACATTTTGGTGTGCAAATTAAAAAAGTAATTTTAATGTGATTAATATTCAGATGGGCTGTTCCAGTTTATATCTGTGAATGATCTACATATTCCCAAAGGAGTTTTAATTGAATTTATTTTTTTATTTACTATTATTCAGATTTATATTGAATGTTGAAGTAGAAAACAGAAATATATGACAAAATTATTGCCTCTATATTTTTTCATCACTGCATATTCCGAACAAGGTTAGTAATATTCAGCGTGGTACTCAGAAACGTTTCGTTTCAATAAGTTGTGCAATTGAGCTCATTTTTTAGGCTTGAACATAACTGATAAAGGGTGTAACATGACATCTTCATCTATCAAGATGCACAACTGACGATCATAACTCTAAGGTGCTTGATAAGCAAGCTGGAAAGGTCTGAAAATTCCACAAGGAAACCATCTTTACCAGTTAGTTTAGTATGCCTAATAAAAACTAAATACAAAATTCTGAAAAAAACTATTGAAAACTATGTATTATATCAACCATCAATTGACAAAAACAAGGTACTAATCAGTTTTAGTTTGAATCATCTTCAGTGATAGATTTGAGGATCCTCTTCTTTTTATGACTATAATATATTTTATTTCTCAATTATTCAACTTACCTAAAATATTTCAATTGATTTCCATTTTCTCTTCCTTTCACCTGATGATTTGTTAAGATTTTAATTTCAAATTGTGCCTAATGCAAACTAACTGAACACAAAATCCATGCAAATCTTTTTTTTAATCAAAGATATGTTTGAGAAACTACTACTAATGATGAAACAATGTATAGAGGAAAGTCTGAGCAAGTCCTATGACTACTAAAATCAAGGATAAAATCAGTAGAAAACTTTGAAAGTTCAATATAAAAAAAAATCGATAAAAATACCTTATTTGTAGCCTTAAACCAGTTTAATGTTGCCCATATATTAGTGTGCTATATAAAGTACTTATAATTTTGTTTTTTTCCTGTTAGTGATATATTACAAGCCTATTTGAATTATAACCAGTTTCATGCTGCTAGTCCTATACCATTTTTTTGATCTAAGTAACCAATTTTCAACAATTCTTGCATCGCTAATAAATAACCCTTATTCATATCTACAACCTAAGCAGGCACAGAAAAGTTGAAAATATGTCCCAATCTATACTAAAATTAGGCAGTGATGTAAGCTGTGTTAATTCTAATTCAAATTATGTCTGCTCTGCTCCAATTAGTCATCAGCAGAAGCCTTTTTGAGTCTTTTCTGTAAAAAAAATTCCAAATCTGTAGGTTGGTATTAATGTTTGATCCAAGATGAATACAACCCTGGTGTAATCAAATTATGTGAAAATATTTGAAGAGATAAAGTTATATAATATATTCCAATATAAATGGATATTTGATTGTTATGAAATGTATTGTATTAAGACTGCCACATATCTAGTATTTCTGACACCAGAGTTTCTATGCATCTTAGTTTAATTCATTGTTTTAGCAACCAAATATTCTCATATAAAACAAATAACTTCAAGGTTTATGTTACTACTCATAAATATTAATGACAAACTATTAACAATTTATTGTTTCTTTATGAATTTAGTTGCTCAAAGATATATCAATAAATCACCAAGTAAAGTAGTTTAAAAAAAATCATACCATTATTCTATATTTCTCTTTACAAGCGTAATCAGATTCATCTACATCTTGGTAACAATCACTTTTGTAGTCTTCAGGTAGAGGATTTCCTTCGAATTCACAAAGTTTCTTAAGAGGTTTTGCTCTACAAATTTAGATTATTAAAATGGAGAAATCTAAAACAAATTGAAAAAATAATAAATTATACATACTTGACAATAAGTTTGTCGAAACCAGTAGGTTTATGTATGGGACAGTAAAATACATCAGGTGTGTTTTTGTCAAAAACAATACTTTTTCTCATCATGTCTTTTGCACAAGTAATAATGCATATGAAGAAGAAAATCAAAAATATGGTGGCCTTCATCCTGAAACGAAAAAAGTGAGAGAAGCACACACTACAATACCATTTTAGAAAATGATTCATTCATGTTACAGATACAGACAAGACCTTGAAATGGTCATTTTAAGAAAAAGGTATATATTTAAATATTATAAACCATTACCTACATTAAATATATTTTGAGACTCACTTCTTTTAAGATGAATTAATATCTTATTTTAAAACACTGCTAAACTACAATGAACATTCTCTCAGCCAAGAACTTTCACTTTTTATGTTGGAAGTAATTCTCACCTGTTACTGGTAACTTCAGGTTTATACTGTTTTTGAGTATTCAGCTTACCACTTACAAAAGTGGACGGCAGCCCACTCAATCCTTTTTTAGTCAAGAATGATTGCGAATCTCATGATAGGAGCAAAGTCATAAGTGTACAGTTAACATTTAAAACGGAAATGAACAGAAGTGAAGAATAAGAATACCGAATAACTCACCATTCACCGTTGTTGATGTTGGAGGATGGGAGTTTCAAAGTGCTTACACCGTTGACAGACAACCAAACATTCAACGTGGTGTATAGGCAGTTGCTACTAAATGAACCCATATTCTTTTTTAAAGAACCACAAACCTTAATCCAAGGGCGCACCATGGATATTGTTTCGGGGGTTGAACTTAAAACAATAGGACATTCAATATAATTTATAAAAGATTCAAAAGAGGAAGATCATCAAAATTAAAAAGAAAACGAGTACAAACAACTCAGCGACAAGACAGTTATGTGTTTATATTTAAATACTTTATTTTTATTCTCATTTTTAATTAATTTGTAACGACTAGGATATTTGTGATGGTTTTTTTTATTAATGTTTATATCCGATGAGAACTTTTTTCTCTCTTTATGTATTATGACTTAACTCATGTTGTGTAGCAACCATAAGAGATTATCTTTCTATCTATCTATCTATCTATCTATCTATCTAT